CCCTCCTGGGTCACCAGCCCCGGTCATCCACCATGACCCTGTCCACATTCCAGGCCTCCCCTGCTGGGGGAAGCGGTGGAGCTGGCAGCAGACCGGAGAGGGAACTGCAGTCCGCAGGCCGGATCCACGCGGGAGTCATCATGGCCCGCATTCTGCGCATGCAGACACCGAGGCACATGAAGCCGTTTTCTCAGAGTACCTGCAGGGGTTCAAGCCAGCAGGGTCTGGTTCCTTTGAGTCCTGTGGATCTGCACAACGCCTTAGTTGAGTGATGGGTACAAGATGAGCGTGGAGAGAAAGACTTCATCGGAGAAAGGAAGCGGGGCTCCCAGAGGTACTGAGTGCCGGGGCTGGGGACTTAGCTCAGCCACGTAAGCGCCTGCCTTGCAAGCAGGCAGTCGTGAGTTCGATCCCTGGTATCCTGGTATCGATTTAAAAAAAAAGAATTACCAGAGGTACTGAGTGCAGAGTCTGCTGTGGTGCTGGAGGCAGGGGGTACTCTGACCCCTGAGTAAACACACGGAACGCAGTGGGCCCCGCTGGGTCCAAGTCCTGGAAGGCAGGAGACGACGAAATCAGCTCAGAAAGTGCTAGAAGCAAGCCTTAGTGACACCCAGGCTGTGGTTTCCACTTGACAGGCAGCCGGAGCCCAGCAATGAGGGGCGGCGCGGAGCCCCCGGCCGGTTCCGGACCAGGTTCCGGCCCAGGTGGTGCTGGGCTCCCGTGCCCAGGAGTCCGCATGTGCAGGGGGGTCGGCGTCGGGGCTCAGGGACGACCTTTCAGGCCAGGCTGAGGCCGGCTGTAGGTGCCACCGACAGTGCAACGTGAACTTCCCGACGCCTGAGCAGCTGGGGCTTTGCTTGTTTGGTTTTGGTCTTTGGCGGGAGAAATGAAAGTTACTTCCTTCCATCCGCGTCGCTAGTCCTGGGAGGGGGCCACCGACATCCGGCAGGTTTTAGCCCTGGACGGAGAACGCGTCTCCCCGCGGCCACCGACGGCCACCGGGCCGAGCAGGGGGCGCGGAGCCGGGGGACCCTCGCCCGGTGCGGGGCGCTCTAGCTGGCTTTGCTTCAGCTTTCGCAAGCACAACTAAAATAGGCTTGGCGAGCATCGGTGAGGCCTGGCAGCTCTAGACGCGTGCCACCCTCGCCCACCTGCAGCAAGCTCCCAGGCGGGAACCTGCGGTGACGCTCGCGGCGGCTCTGGGTCACTTCCTGCGCGGTTCCGCGCCGCCTTGTGTCGGGGCCACTTCAGCTTCCAGTCCGCGCCTTGGGGTCCGAGTGCCTTGGAGATGCCAGCGCCCTGGCCCACTGTCACACAACACCCCATGCCAGGCCCGGGAAGGCGCCCCTGCCCAGTGGCTCAGACCGAGCTCCCGACTCCCCGCAAGTGATAAGCAAGAGGTGTCAGCCTTGGTCTGTGCCCCGGGGAGCCCTCTGTGTATCCCTTCCCAGAGCACGAGCTTGCGAACTATCCAAAGGGTCTTGTCGGAAGGCTGGATGCTCAGGGAGAGTTTAATAATGACATTCGCCACTGGAGGTCACGAACACCCCGTATCGGGGTAAGGGTGCAAGGCGGTAGAGCAGGGACCACTAGAGATGCCAGACACCGGCCAGGGTTCTCCTCACCTCTTTTGTTTTTTTAAGAGGTGAGGAAAACCCTGGGGACCTCAAGGAAACAGAACCCACCAGTATTCCTGGCTGGTTCAGTTGTGTCCTCTGGCAGGTCCAAGGAAGGGAAAGGATGTCAGAGGTCCTGTCCACTTAAGGGCCCAATGGGCTGCCGAGCCTGGGGCTGTGTTTGGGGTAAGCAGAGACAGCCACCGTAAAGGACCCTGGCTATACAAAAGGACAGGTGAGCGCTGTGCTGAGAAGCTGCAGACCAGCAGCCACAGAGATGATTGCAACATCAGTTATGGAAGAAAGGAAGAGTTGCGGCAGGCGTCCTCATAAAACCAAATCTGCCCTTCCAGAGTGGGGGGGGGACGGAGCCTAAAGGGATTGGAAAGCGCAGGTTCCTCAGTGCTGGGGGGAGGGGAACAAGGAGGACCATACAGAAACCAGCACTGCTTCTTGGACCAGCACCCTGGAAACTACCCAGAGTCCCCAAAGAGAGTGTCCTGTGGGAGATGCTGGACAGACAACAGCAGCTCATGTGTACCTCCTGAGAATGGGCTTGGCCTGGCCTCGAAGAAGGGACACCCAGCAGGTACCCCAGAAGGCCAGACACAGCCTCCTCCCAAGATCCTCCCTGCAGGCTTTGTATACAACAGAGGACCCCAGGGGACAAGCAATGGCCTCTCCTAGGCCAGAGGATTTGGACCCAGGCCAGCAGTGAGACAGTGAGCTGGAAGCAAGGTGCAGACTCAAGAGTCCTTCAAGGCTTCCAGTAAAGGTGCTTAGGATTTGTAACATGGCAGCAGAGAGCCACTGCTGCCTGGTGGGAGGGTGGAGGGAGCACCCTCCAGGGGCCTCAGTGTTCTGCAGCATGGAAATGGTGATTCCATCCATGCATGGTGTGAGAGCACTAGACTCCCAGTCCAGATGGGGAACAGGATCCAAAGCTGGAAAAGTCTCCGCAGGGAGGCTGAAACACACAGGCCAGAACCCAGACACTTCCCTCTCCAAGTAGGTGGTGGAAGAGTAAAAGAATGCTGGGGCTGAGAGAGGAAGCCAGGAAGGGGAAAGAGGATGCCCAAGGTGAGGAGCCTCCCCCAACTCCATCTAAACTCCCCTTAGATCAAGAAGGAGAAAAAAGAAAAAAAAAAAAAAAAAAAAAAAGGGCTGGGAATTTAGCTCAGTGGCAAAGAACCTGCCTTGAAAGCAGGCAGTGGTGAGTTTATCCCCCCCTCACCGATTAAAAAAAAAAAAAGGCCCAGTCTCTGCTCTGACCTGTAAACAAAAGGTGTCAGCTCTCTAAGGTATTGTCTCCTTGACTTTAGGCCAAAATAAGGAAATCATTTGGATATTTTGGTGCAGTAATCAAATAGTTTGGGCAAACTGAGATATATGTTTGAATTACCAGAATTAATACCTCATGACTATCTCAAGTCTCTGCTTGATTCTCCAAATGCAGTTGTGATTCATTCTCTTCCACATTCCCCCCACCATGCCTTGGTTCTCTTCTTCTGCACATCTTGTTTCCCAGTTAAAAGAGGAGCCAGGCCACATTTCATTCCAGAAATGTGCCATTTTCCAGATCTCCGCTGACCTGAACTCTAGGCTGTTAATGGGAATAAAATACAACCAACTTGTCCCCATCAAGAAGTCTGGAGGACAGGCCTGGGAGTGGAAGGAAAGGAACAGAGAGGAGACAAGACCATGGCAATTACATTCTTAAATTTTTGTCTATATTAAGTCAAACACCATGGTGACAAAGAGTTGGAACCTGAGGGACTATCAGGAGTTGAGCTGGGGCTCACAAAGCAGTATAGGCAGAGCACAGCTAAAGGTGGTGAGGTCTCCTGATGGCGATGCTGGTGGAGTTGGTGTTGAGCCCCAAGCCAAGCCTTTCTAGTAAGTTCACTCTCCCTTAACCAAAAGGAGGGCTAAGAAGTAAATCCAGGCGGACTTACCTGTCTCCTCATTCCGCTGTGCGAAGGCTGCAGTTGTAATTACACACTTGCTTTTTACAGGGAAGACCAAAGATCATATTTTTCAAAGTATCAACTTGTTTTCCATTAGGCAGTTGTTGTAACAAGTTCTTTCAGCGACATGTTATGTCTTTAGGAAAGGGTGCTTCAGGTGGCGCGCACTAGCACAATTTTGTGGCTTTTAATTACTATTTTGTTCTTTTAGGGGGTTTCAGAGGCTGGCGCCTGGGCGTGATTAGACCGTCTACCCCGCCCGCCGCAACCTCGCGTGTGGTCCACAAGGTGGCGCAATGAAGCAGTCGCTGCAGCGGGACGAACCAACTGTGGGGAGTCAGCACCGCGAGCGTCCATCACCGTGCAGAAGGTTTCCAACCACCGGCAGGTAGAGATACGAAAGTCCCCACCTAAATTAAAACAAACAAGGAGAAGGGAACAGATTGCAATGAGAGGGTGGAACAAGGTCCTAAAGTGTAAAATCCTACATTTCTTTATGTTTGTTGTTGTAATTTACCAAATAAGAGGTAACAAACCTAGTAGTTATAAATCTATAATCTCACCTAAATATTAATTCATTTCCTTTTTCGTAAAAAAATCGAAATTTAGTGATGTTAAAATGAACTTTTAAGGTCATCTGGTCTGTCTGGCCTATATTTCCACCCCTGGGAGGTGGCCCCATGGTCGCTCTCAGGTGTCAATCGCCCATCAGAAGTCATAATTACTCAGAGTTGCAGCGTGTTGGGAAAGTACAAGAAGTGATTTCAAATATATAATAATACCTTTGGGGTTATATAGCTTCTGTCTCGAGCAACACGGAAAAAACGTTCAAATATTAACCAATTAATTGTCGTAATATCCCTGTGGGTTGGTTAGGAAGCAAGTATTATTACACACAGTTTATGGATAATTTAAATCAATTGACTGTCAAGTGCATGAGTGGCTGACCAGAGTTAAGTGCCAGACACTTCCAGGAAATGCGCAGATACAGTTGGCTTTGCTCTCCGCATCGCTTTTCGTGATTCATGTGTTTGAAAATTGACCTCTGGCATACATGTGCAAAATCACTGGGATTAGTTTTTGCAGACTAGGATGAGAGACTCTATTTCTTCCTGTAGTACAAAACGCCAGTCTCTGTCTGCATACCTTCTGTCCTAATGAGAGCCAATCTGCACCCCCAGCCCCCACCCCGCAGCCGCACCCGCACCCCCACGCCAGCTCGCGCCGCTCTGCTCCCATTCAGTGCGGCCTGTGAGCACCCGCGGCCGCTGCAGCCTGAGTGCCCGCCATGTGACACCCGCCCCCTGGCCGCCGAGCGTCTCCCGAGCCCCACGGCAGGTCGCTTCGGATTGGCTGTTGCTAGGTGACGTCACCCGCGCTCACGTGACAAGTGTTAAATGCCCACCCTGCAGGAGCCGGCTTGGCAGACAATCGTAAAGCTGCTCCGGACCGCTCACCTGCTCCCGCCTCCTGCAGCCCCGACCCGTCCAGGTCATCCCTGCCCCCTCTATCTCCCGCCCCGCCCAAGCCTGCTCGGGCAGGGAGCAGAGAAGGCCGAGAGGATGCGACCCGCGGCGGCTGTCTGGAGCAGCGCACCGTGATCGCCTCCCCCGAGGAGGAGGCGCCTAGACCGTTGCCTCGTTTGTTGTTTTCCTCCCCCCACACACCCGTAATTACATTGGCTGCTGGAAGGGACCTGGAGAGACAGAGGAGGCGCCTGGCTTCTTCCTCACGCCCGCCACCCCTGCTCTTTCCCATCCCGGGCCAGGATGACTGGAGTCTTTGACAGTCTGGTGGCTGATATGCACTCAACCCAGATCACGGCCTCCAGCACTTACCACCAGCACCAGCAGCCCCCGAGCGGTGGTGGCGCCGGCCCCGGTGGCGGCAACGGCGGCAGCAGTCTGCACAAGCCCCAGGAGTCGCCGACCCTTCCAGTGTCCACGGCCACCGACAGCAGCTACTACACCAACCAGCAGCACCCCGCGGGAGGCGGCGGCGGGGGGGCCTCGCCCTACACGCACATGGGCTCCTACCAGTACCACGCCAGCGGCCTCAACAACGTCCCTTACTCCGCCAAGAGCAGCTACGACCTTGGCTACACGGCTGCCTACACCTCCTATGCGCCCTATGGGACCAGTTCGTCTCCAGCCAACAACGAGCCGGGTATGCACAATGCGGGAGTCCGGGTCCCAAACCGTGGGTCACTGGGCGGAGGGCTGCCCAGAGTCCTGGTCTTTCGCAGTGCCTGTCCTCTCCCCGGCCTGCTCCTGCCTTTTAATGCCTCCCAATCTCCAGTCTCCCGCGAGTGAGGGTGCGTCCCTCGGCGCTCAGCTGGGGCTGATCTAGCAGCTCCAAGGCAGGGTGGGCAAGCGGTGCACGCCTCCTGGTAACTGCATTTTCTCACTGCCTGACTCTTCTTTCTTTGCGGCGTGCACCCCATCTTCCTCTTCCCCAGAGGGTTCAGCGTGCGGATTTGGCTGCAGCTCCAGTCCCCACGTGGCAAAGTTGCGCCTGCAACCTGCACGCGCAACCTCTCCACGGACCGGCTTCCCGGCTCTTGCCAAGTTCCCGCCAAGCCCTTCCCGCAGGCAAGAACTGTAGGACCCCCGCGTTGCGCGGTAACCACAACTCCGTTTCCTTGCAGAGAAGGAAGACCTCGAGCCTGAAATCCGGATAGTGAACGGGAAGCCAAAGAAAGTTCGGAAACCCCGCACCATCTATTCCAGTTTCCAGCTGGCGGCTCTTCAACGGCGCTTCCAAAAGACTCAGTACCTGGCGCTGCCGGAGCGAGCCGAGCTGGCGGCGTCTCTAGGCCTCACCCAGACTCAGGTGGGGCTCCGACCCTGCGGGGACCAGGAGGGCACGCGGGCCTGGGTGGCCCCGGAAGCACGCGCGCGCATTCAGCACTTCTTTAAAATAATATATTTTAGGTAGTTTTTAGGAACTTGCAGGCCTGCACTTTGGGCAACCTGAACTTCTAGGCCCAAAGCTGCAAAATCCCCAAAGGGTCGCTGCGTGGGAGGGGAGGAAAGGGACTGAGGTGCGCAGAGATCCAGTACCACGTTGCCTTTTGACTCGGTCTCATTAAGTGGGCGAACTAACTGGCCCTCCTGACACTCTCCGCTGTCACCACTGTGCACAGACATCCGGGGTCACACACAGTCAGAACAAGAACCTCAGCCTTTTGAGGTCACTTCCCAATACCGCAGGAAGCTGCAGCGCGAGATCCGCTCCCCACCCGGTGGCTCAATGGCCACCTCTAGCCTGTGTGCTTCCTCTGCTACCTCCTCTCCCTGCCCCTACCCTGGTTCCTCCACTAAAGCTCCGGTCCTTTTTCCACATAGGTTAAAATCTGGTTTCAAAACCGCCGATCCAAATTCAAGAAGATGTGGAAGAGCGGCGAGATTCCCTCTGAGCAGCACCCTGGGGCCAGCGCTTCGCCACCTTGTGCCTCGCCACCTGTCTCGGCGCCAGCCTCCTGGGACTTCGGCGGGCCTCCGCGGATGGGGGGCGGCGGCGGCCCGGCCAGCGGAGGCAGCGGCGCGGGCAGCTCTGGCTCCAGCCCGAGCAGCGCGGCGTCGGCTTTTCTGGGCAACTACCCGTGGTACCACCAGGCCTCGGGTTCCGCCTCGCACCTGCAGGCCACCGCGCCACTGCTGCACCCTACGCAGACCCCGCAGCCTCACCACCATCATCACCATCACCACGGTGGAGGGGGTGCGCCCGTGAGCGCAGGGACGATTTTCTAACCCCCAGCCTGCGCCTCCAAGACTAAGCAAAAACCCGCGAGCGAGGCGCTCGCCCCCACCGCAGGGGGGGGGTCCTCCCTGCTCCCGTGGCTGCACCCAGCAGTGCGGGAGGGTGCAGTCTGGGACCGCCCGGCCCAGCAGCCGGAAACGGGACCCTCGCCCCGCGGGCTCTTCTCAGGAGAAGCGGACAGCTGCTCGGCGAAGGCCGTCACCAAGGCCGCATTTCTGACCTGAGCCTCGAGCCTCGGCCTCTTCGAGCTCCGCCTGGGACTCGCTCCCCGCCTGTCCCCGCCCGGCGAGGTCGTCAGGCGCCTCCGTCGCCTGGGGCCTCGAGCTGAGCCCGGAGAGGGACGCGGCCCCGCCCGCGAGGTTCCCGGGCTCTGAGACTCCTTTCTCTTCGCTCGCCCCCGGCTCAGCTCCGGCGCGCTTCGGTTATTGACCTCCCGGGGTCCCGCCAGCCCGCCCTCCCCCTCGTGCCCCCTTGACCCGGGGCCCCAAGGCTTTTTTTTTTCCTGCTCAGTTCCCAGACCTCGTCTCCCCCCTCCATCCTTCCCTGCCTTAGCGATCCCCAGGAGCACTCTTCCCCTCAGCTATCCTCATCCATCACAGTGGAGTTTTATTTTATTTTTATTTTTTTAAAAGTTTAGGTGCCTTTGCGGATGACCTCATTTTGATGTTGGGAAAAATGATTTTTAATATGTGGACACTGCAAAAAAATGTGTTTAAATTATCTTTTTTAAAATTTATTCAGGATTATTAGCCTGGACTCTGACACAGTTTGTAAATAAAGGTGTCTGTGAAGATTTTCCCACTGATTTATTTGTATAAAAATGCTCACCTTTTCAGACATTTTTGTAAACCCCCAGTTGTGAAAACTGCGGTTGAGCAGTGACCTCAGCAGCCCCTCCATTTTATTTTTCCCTTTGAAAAAATTTCTCAGTTAAATTAAGCTACTGATTTGAATTTATCTTATCCGAAAGTCTTTGTTCTTAAAATGCAAGGTATTTTGAGGTTATTTATTATGAAAACAACATGCTCTTAATGTTGATTTTACAATATGAAGAGATTATTTAAATAAATTATTGTTTTCATTGGAGTGTGTGAATTTTCCTTGGTGCGCAGGGTTTCCAAGCTCGAGCCGTCGCCCAAGCCCTGAACCGGGTCAGACGAGAGCGACGTTTGCACTTTGCAGGCCGAGAGCACCGAGAGGTGCGGCGAGACCAGGACCCGAGCGCTGGCTCGCACGCCGGTCAACTCCACCCTCTTCCGACCCTTCCCGGGTTCGCCAGCCCGCGGCGCCGTGACTCACTCAGCGCCGGGCGGCTCCAGCCTCCGCCCGCCTAGCCCGCCTGGCGCCCGCGCCACCGCCCCGCGCCTGGGCGGTCTCGGCCGCCCCCGCGTCCGCCTAGCTGGCCGGCCGGGCGGTGCATCTGAGCCGCCGCTGAGGACCTGCTGTCCGCGGCCTGAGCTCTGCCCGGGCTGGGACCAGATCTTTACACCCCACCCGCCCCTCTGTTTGCCCCACGGCCCTTTGGAAGCTGGCAAAGCGGCGTTTCATGAGTCACCCTCGAGAGGCACGGTTGGCTGGTCTGGAATCCAGGACGGCCCTATGCACAGCGCCGCGCTAGTGCACACACAACACACAATCACACACTGTCACACTCATTGTCACACTAGTGCGTTTGCTTTCACACGCAGGCGCACGAACGATACTGGACACATCACCATCATAGTCTTACCCCATGACACTTATTCACAGACCGTGCACACTCACACTCACACTGATACACTGAGTCACATATGCACATTCACATACACGGACAGAGACTGGTGCCCGGTGCAGTGGGAGTGGTATCCTTGCATTTCACACTAACAGAGAGGAAAAGTCCACGTGTCACTCAGTTCTGCTTTCTATCACCAGCAGCAAACAACCAGTTCCAGCTTTGAAAATGACCCTACTTCCTAACACTGCCTGCAAAAAACCAATGGTAGGTATGTAACACAGGTGTGAACTAGAAATCCCTTTCCCTGAGAGCACTGGGGCCCATAGTTAGAGGCTTTCTGACTTCAACCACTGACTACATGACCTTGGGCAACCCTCATAGCCTATGTTACAGTTGCAGATCTGTAAGATAGGAACCATAATAACAACCAGGTCTGAGTTGTGAGCAAAAACTTAATGAATCCTTAATGAGGCAGTGATGTAACATGGTGCCTGGCACATGATAAGCACTAAATACATTTTACCTATCTTGTAGTTAATATTTCTGTCTTATCATAGTGTCCCAAATCAGAAAGGCCTCAATTTTGCCCGTGATTGTGAAGTCTAGAGTTACCCTGGGGCCTTTCCAACTCCACCTTGTGAGGAAAAGCAGCATCCCAGGGCTGGGATAGCCATGGCCCCTTCCCACATGGGGCTTGAACTTCATTCCCTCCAAGGGATCTGCTTCCACTAGAGAAGAGATTGGGTTCAGGCCAAATAACCCTGCTTGCCAGATTCAGGGCTCTTCTCCTCCAGGTTATTTAGGTCGGCCATGTCCATTCTATGCAGCCTCAACTCCTTTCTGCCCAAAACAGACATAGATGGAGGTAACTTTCTGGGGGTCACAGCATCATCACCGTGGGGTAGGGAGTCCTGACTTTTCTACCTAGATTGTTTTGGGGCCTGCTCCAAGTCCAATTTACAAGAGAGTATGGTCTGGGCATTTGGGGCTCTGGAAAAAAGAAGGATGCTATATAAACTTGTGTCTCTTTGCATTTCCGCATTGTTTTCCTAGGTTAAAAAGACTGGGCTGAAGACGGCTGACCCGCAGTTCTAAACAACCGCTGCCTACCAGACTCCCTTCCCTTTCCCCCCGCCCGACCCCCACTCCAGCTCCACATTCCGTGGGGCTTTTTGAGTACCAGGAGCTGGTGCCAGTCTTCCTCCTGCGGTCGACTGTGCCCTCCCCTCCTTTGCGCGCACTGCCCTCCCCCCTCCCGAAACCAGCGGGGAGAGACGGGGCAGTAAATTGGCTGGTGTCGAGGATCTGCCGCAGACAAGATGATTAAGAGGCCTACGCCGGAGCGCCCGGGGCAGGGAATGTCAGCCCAAGTTGGAATCACGCAACAGGCCTTGGCATGAGCCGAGCATGGGAGCCGAGAGGGCGGGCGGCCCCCTCTCCGGGGTGGGCCGAGGCCCCACAGACCCGCCGGAGTCACCGAACCTGGCACTCGGCGGCGGCGGGGTCGGGCTGGGCCAAGGCGCGCCTCTCCCCGGGGAGCCCGTAAAGCCGAGGGCACGAGGGTGCCGGGGCTAGGGAAAGGGGCGTTTCCGCAGCCCCAGAGACTGGCCCGGAGGAGGGAGCGGCGGGCAGGGCAGCGGCCCCGTCCCAGAAGTGAGGGGGCGGGCCGCACAGGGGTGGGCACCCGGAGAAACAAAGCGCGGCCCCAGGAGCGGGGGCGGCTCCGGCCCCGCCGGGGGCGACGCGCTGGCCGCCTTTCTCACAGTCCTGCCCGGAGCCTCTGGGGCCCTGTGATCAGCCCGCCGCCGCCGCGCAGACACGCTCCCCCCGCGCTCCACTGCGCGCCCCAAAGCGCAGATGAAAAATGGAATTGGGAAGCAGCGATCCCGACTCCCTACACTGGGAAACCAGCCGCGCTCGGAACACACATAAATCTTCATTGTAATCCCCATCCACTTGCTCGCGTAAAATGTCAGACCAGAGACAGGATGTGACAAATGCTGGGAAAGGGGGGGGCGTAGAATGAGGGGTCCGGGCCTCACCGCTCGGGCGCATCGCCCTCGGTGTAACCGAGGGTTAGTGCCAACTGCGGGCAGCCGAGGTGCCCCCGCGTCCTCCTCCCGTCCCAGTCCCGCCTGCCCTCGCCACAGAGCTGTGATGAGTGCAGAACCCCCTCCGGCCACACAGAATCCCCGCCGCCCGCCCCCCAGCTCCAGGGCTAGGGAGGGCAGAAGAGAGCGAGCGGACCCCGGGCCTAATCAGCCGTGCTGCAATGTGGGACCGTTTAGGAAGCTTCCCCTCGGCCTTCTTTCAGGATCGCTTGTGAAAATTGTGAATATCCGTCCAGAGTAAGGATTTCCGAGACTGATGGGGCGAGTTTGGGGGAAGTATCAGGTTTAGTGGGGGCGGAGAGAACAAGAGAAGACTGGAGCTTTGTTTACAAACAGTTCTTGTGGAGGAGACGTGGGGGAAGTAGAGAAAGAAGCCCCGAAGTGATCTTATGGTTACCTCCGCTGTTATAGCCCCCCACCATTCAAGAAGGACATGGGGACCAAAAAGTCCCTTTGCCTTTCAAAGTGCCAGTCTTACAGACAACGTAAACCCCGGGCATAACTGTCCCACTTCCGGAGCCCCCAACACGTGCTCAAATCTCAAACTGGCTCCAGTGCCTCTGGAAACAGCGACCACCAGTGGCTTTAACCTGTTTAGGGTCAAAGACTCCTTTGAGAATAAAGCGACTGATTTCTTCTTGCTACAATACAAACAGGTCCCCTGAATTCGACTTGGGGGTCCTGGGCCTTAGGGTCAGTTGAGTGGAGCGCTAAGGTATCCTGTGCCCCCTGGAACTGGAGGACTGAGCTGTCCCTAGACCGGCGGCCTGTCGCAGGGCCGTGACACCCAAATCAGCCCGGAGGAAGCCTTCTGGAGGCCAGATTTCTCTCCCTACCCGGGATCTGCCGGGCAAGTTGCCCCCCAGCCCAACACGCACACGCACACACACCAGGGCGGGCGGTGGCGCGGGCCTCTCGACCCTCCAAGGGCCCCACCCCCACCCTTACCCTTGCGGGAGTCCCCCCCTAGGGGACGGATTTGGCAGTGATTGCCACATTACAAGATGTTACATTCCGCCCTGGGGCCTGGGGCTGCGCGGGGGTGTTTCAGGAAAGACAATTCGTTTCAGGAGGAAAAAAAAAGCAAGAGAGAGAGCAGACAGGTCTTGGAGGTGCAGCTACTTGGCGCCTCCAAGTGAGATCGCAGACGCAGTCTCCAAACAGAGCTTCTTTCTAGGGGTCGCTTGGGGTCGGCTTCCCGCTACACCTCAGGGGCAGCACGCAGATACTGCAGTGTCTTCGCACTTCCTGGGTCCCCCCGGGCTTATTTGGGGGTGTCCAAGAGATCCGCGTACCCGCGAGATCCGGGCTGGGGAGGATTGATGCGCGCACCTTGCAGGCCGCGGCCGCAGGGGACAGAACTACAGCCTCGGGGAGGGAGGGGCGCGGGCCCGCGGAGAAGGTGCGCCCGGGTGGCACAAGGGCGCGCTTGTGAGTCCGCACTTAGCAAGCAGGCGGTTGTTCACACCCCCGCCGCTCCGCTGCGGGTCGTTGTCCAGGAGTCTCGGGCAACCTGGAGGTGAAACCCAGCGCTCCAGGAACAATGGGGACTTCTGGCTGGGAGAACTCGAGCGAGTCTGGACTGCTCCGAGACGGCCGGAGCTCGGGTCGGCGTCTCCCGGGGGCGCCCTGGCGTCCCCTCCACTTCGGGGACACTCCGCCCCGCCCCTCCCCCCTGGCGGCCTGGCCCCGGCTTCTTAAAGTCACAGGGTGTCTCAGTGCCTGAGAGACGCGCCGCCCCAGTGGAGAGTAAGAGGTACAGCGAGGTAGGGGAGAGACGACAGTGCAATTCTCCAGGCGCTGGAGACAAAAGAACCCAGGCGCTTGCAGGGAGGGCCTGGAGGACCCTCAGCTCCTTCCTTCCTAGTCCCCCCCACCAAAGCCCCCTGCAAAGCGTCCAAACAGCAGGGTCTTATTCGCCGCCACTGGGCGGCCACCCGCACTCACTCTCCGGTGGGGATCACCGCCTGCCACCAACACTACAGCTTCCAGGGCCCGCAGGCTTCAACCTTCCCTTCCTAACTGGGAAGGTTTGGGAGAATCCGGAAAAGGAGCCCCCAGAAGGAAGAAGGAAGAACTAGAAAGAAAAAAGAAAGGAGGATGAAGCTGGAGGGGGGATTCTGTTCAGTCACTTTCTCAGTTGCGGGGTTTGGGGTGGGGAGCCTGGGACCTCCGGGTGTCCAAGCCACAGCGAACAGGCACTAGGAGAAGGGGATTCTCCCCACATGTTCTCAGAGAGGACAAAAATTTACCTTGGGTGGCCAATTTCCTCATTTACCCCTATTAAGACAAAAAGCCCAAGAAATTCAATTAAAGCCACCTTGGCCAAGGCGCTATTTGAGGCACGAATGTCTCCCCTAAAGCTGCAGCAATCATGTGGCATTAGACACTTCCGGAATCCTATAGCCAACCTGAAAAATCCCAGACCCCCTTTTTCCCTAATTTTTGCTCTGATCTGTAATTTTATCCACATTTGCACTAGTTTGAGCATTCTGGCTCTCCCATCTGAAAGCCTGCAATTACTATATAATTCTTCGCAATTTCAGATGTCCTAATATGGACTGTAATTTTTGCGCAAGACAATTTCCTGCTATTTCAAGCATCAACATTGTCAAAGTTGTATGTACATAATAAATGGGAATATCAATGCATAGTTTTTAGCATAACATCTTGACTCCTCGATAATTATATCCGTTCGGAGCCTACGCAGAATTAGCCTGAATTGCATGGTAACTGCTGCTGCTTTAAAATTTTTAAAAATTACTCATAATTTTCCCAAAGATTACCAAGATCTCGAGTGCACAATGTCATCAGCGTAATGAAGAGTAAACATTTATGCTAATAATCTGCAATTTTTTTCATCAGCTATAAAGACAGAGGCTATATAGCCGAAATTTTCAGTCCTATTGGCAAGCGCAGCGCTGCAAAAAGCCTGCGGCGCTCTGAGACGCCTGGTCCTGGGGACCTCTTTCCACTCTTTACTCTCAGGATAGGAGGATGGGGTCGGGGAATTCTTTTTGGTTTTCTAGTTTTGTTTTGCTCTCATTTGATCGATTTTATGTTTTCCTTTTTTTCCTCTTTTTTTTTTTTTTTCTTTTTCTTTTTTGCCTTTTCTTTCCGGTCATTCTCCCAGCCAAAAGCCGCCTTCGACCCTTTTGATTTGATGTAGCAAAGAGTGTGTGTCCAGATTATCTGAAATTGACACTGAAGAAGGTAAGGGTGGAAACCGGTTTCATTTTTCAGAGGGTTGGAAGGCTGCGCTGTGCCCGCCGCAGCGGCTCCCGCTCCGGGAGTAGGAGGGTGGGGGAGTGATTATGTATGCACCAGCTAATTCTTCCATCAAAACTTCTTGTCAGCGATGTCAGGATTATTTTTTTCTTTTTTATAAAAACACTTGATGTTTCAGGAAGCGTTAATCCCTGAAGATTGGGGGATAAGGGAGGGAGTAGGCAAATGGTGGGTGGGGGTGATCCCTTTCTTGAGCCTGGTGAAGGCACCCTTCAGAGCCGTTGACCTCTTAGCACTGGCGCTGGGGTTTTTTGTGGGGCTGAGGACAGGAGGAGGATTATTTTGAGGCATAGGAGGAAGAAATCCTTCCCCTCTGGGCCTTGCGGATAGAGGTTGCTATGGCCCTGTAGGATGAGGAGCAGAAAAGTTGGTGTTAGCCTAAGATTTCAAGGGTGTTTAACCCAGGTGGCGGGCTGACAAAGACCAGACAATTCTGAGACTGATCCATAAAAGGTATAGGAAGAAAGAGATGGATATCAGGTTAAACATTTATGGGATATTGCTTCTTCTCTCCCAATTTTTCTTGATCTAGCATCTCAGGTTTTGTACCCAACACCCAGACCTACCTTTTCTTGGGTAATAGAAATGGACAGTTTCTTTGAAGAAAGATTTAATTTCTTCATCAAATGACTCTGTATGAATAAATTCACACTTTTGTGTATCTAGGTGAGGTGGATTTTGAAACTCTTTGTGGCTCAAAAAGTGTGAAGAACTACCTAACCCAGCTAGGTGCATATCCCCAGAGGACAGAAATATAAATAAAAGATAATGATCAAGGAGGAAAAGAGATAACTATAAGTGTTACCATTTTTATATTTTTAAAATATTACCTAGGCTTAGGATCTGAGTTCTTCTGCAATTAGACTTCCCTCCTCACAGGGCCATGCAGCCCATCCAGGCTTATGAAAGCCAAGACTCATGAGGAGGGGGCTGGGGACCGCTGCTTCTGCCTCCCCTCTCACCCCCACCTCTTTTGAGAGAGAGAGAGAGAGAGAGAGAGAGAGAGAGAGAAGATATTAAAGAGGTATCTGTTGTTTGGCAATTTTGCTAAGTCTGTCTTCATTACTTTGCCGCCATGCATTTGCTAATTCGGAGGCCGGCCATTGACAAGCTTGCTCCATACACCTGCAAGCAATTTGCCGGCTCCGGTACCGGAGAATTGCAGAGATGGCAGCTCGCACCTATTTGATTTTTTTTTTTTTTCCTTTTCTCAATGCACAGCAAATTTGGCTTTCAGTGCGTTATCTCTTTTGTTAATGCAAAAAGATTCCCTGGGCGAAAAAATTGCTCATAATTACCAGAGAGATGGGGAAACTGCATTAGAATAAATAAACCTGAAATTACTGTAATTATGTTGTGTTTGATGGGCCCGGCTTGTAATCAAGAAGAGAATACAGTGAAATGATGCTGACCCTCTTGGGTTTGCAGCTGTACACGCACTTTGGGGTCTTTTTTTGCAGAAAAGAGTCATTTTGATAATCATTAAGCTGTGTGTAACCTATTTCAGAAGTGTTTTAAAATGAGGTTCACATTTTTTGAACAAGGGGAAAAAAATCCCAAAATTGCATTTTGCCATTACAGACTCATACATAAGGAAAGGTTGTGTTTTCTAAGTGACAATTGTTAAGACATAATATTCGAAATCAGTATTTAATCATTATAATGAGGTATTGTTTAAATATAACCACCTTTAGATTATTCATAGTTTAATTAATATACTCATTATGAAAATCTTTGAATCAGATATTTGATGAACTACTTGTCAGTAACAAGGCAGCATTAATTAGGCCTATATTGAGATTAACATTTTTTAAAAGTACAACTGCTTATAATTATAATAGAGCCTAACTAAAGACCGCCTTCCTTGAGCTAAAACTAATAATTTCTCTATTTGAACTGTTAGCAAGAGATTATTAAATTAGTATAAGCTAATATCTCTAAATATTAACATCAGCTTGACCAGATAGATTTTGCCTGTGGCTTGAGCCTTTGGAGCCCTAGCAGTCCTCTGGGAGACCCAAGAAAGATGGTAAGAGAAATCTCCCTAACAAAACCAAACATCCCAGTGGAAACCGAATCCAAGAAGGTCTCTGCTAGCCCTTCTGATCCCAACCTGAGAAACTGACTCCCTCTCTGTTTTTGAGTCGGTCAGCCCACTAGGACCCTGATCTCCAAGGTCTGATTTTAGCGCTCGCGGTTGGAGCTAGGAGAGGAAAACTTCCCAACTTCCAGCCCAAAAAGGACACCACGGTCCTTGGCTTCATCCTGTACCACCTCTCGCCCCCCTCCCAGCTTCTTCCAGTGCACTAACCACACACACACACACACACACACACACACACACACACACACACACACACAGCCCGTCACTTCCTCCTCCCCTTCCCAAAGGGCGTCGAAAAAGCCCCGCGCATCTGATCTTTCACCAGCACCAATTGAAAAATGGGTGCTTGTCACAACACAGATCACTGCCTTCCCGGCTGTGCTCCCCACCGCGTGCCGGAAAGGGCCCCCCAAAGACCGAGGGCCAGCCCCCGCCCAGCAGCTGTGGAAGGTGAAGCGCGGGAAGCAGGAATCCTAGCCGCCTGCCGCTCGCTGCCCGAAGTTTCCCTTAGCTCTCTTGGCTGGTGGTCTTGGGTCTGGGTTTGGGTTTGGGGTTTACGGTTAGGGTTGGGCTAGGGCCCAGATTACTGGTGGAAAAAAGGAGTTAATGTAGTTGTAGTCTGAGAGTCTGCGCTTTTCTGGAGCAAACTGCATCCCAGTGCTGTAACCGAGGTGAGGTGTGCCCATAGTGGTCTTGCTTCAGGTTGGTAGGGTTGGGGTGGAGGAGATATGCTGAACTCTGACTCCTGGTTTCAAGTCAGTTGAGCCCCTCTGCCACTCTCTTGGCACCCATCTTTCTTGGTTGTGCAAAGAAAATTCCCTGGTCCTTAGCAGGAACAGGCCATTTTTGCTGTGAAGGGGCTGGATGGGGGGCTCCCTCCAACTGTGTCCTGTCCCCTGGAGCTCACTGATTGAGGGTTGGGGGTAGATTAACAGACATATCCTTCCAGCTCCTGCCAGGCGCTTGGCCCTGTCGTTTCCATCACAGAATCCACTGCCCCCGGGGCAAGCATGAGCTGAGAGGCCAGATCTGGGGATAGGCTGGAGGCTAAGCAGGAGGTCTGTTTTCAGGCTTCCAGAGAGCTGCTGGGTGTACAGAGAGCTCCAGTAGCATAGGCTAGCTGTCTTTCTCTCTCAGCGAACCCTCACCGCCCTTTCCATTCCTAAACCAGCTTGCTGCCCTGTGGCACCTGTTCCTGAGTCCCCTTCCCTAACTCTCCCTGGGTACCCCTTCCACTCAGAGAGATTCGATGACTGAGGGAACAAGGTGAGAAGTCCCACTGGGGCACCCCACAAGCCTTGCGATGGTGTCCTGGTGGTGGAGTTGGGCACCCCTAATCTGCCTCACATTAGTATTCGATTCAATTCAACCTGAAACAGAGGCAGGAGCCTGGTCCTCCACCCTCCTCACACACACACAGCACAAGAGACAGCAGTTCTTTCTTGAAACCATAATTTTACTGTCTCAAAGAAACTTTATAACTTATTTACAAAGTTCTTTTTCCCCCCAAGGTACAAAGCAATAAGTTAACATTCTCAATATAAAACTAAACTTTGACATAAAGAACACGAAACACGGTTGATTTCAATTGGTCACATTTTCCAAATCTCACAAGTAAAATGTCAAGATTCTTATTTCACAAATCATCGGGTTTTACCGCCACACACAACAGAACGGAAAAAGGCTAAGCTTGTGCAACATGTTTACAGAACAATAATAATAACAATAATAATTATATATACAGCCAATAGTTCCTGCAATGGAGACTGTGCTTTCGGGGTGGACTGGCATTTTTCTGTGGTAGAACCTCCGGGATTGTTGTAAAGCTGCTTTTGCCTTACTTTAAAGCCCAGTGGAATTAGGGCTGCTTGCTTGTTCTTTGCCTGTTTTCTGTGCTGCCCGTGGATTCTCTCTTTTTACCCAAACTTGAATTTTTCCTTCTTATCCAGGCAAAGCAAACAAGCATTCCTCTCAAGATGACAAAACCGCTTTTGACTCATTTATCTCTTTCTCTTGTTATTATTGTTAATAATAATACAGGACATGTAAAAATGCAAATCATTGAGCTTCAACAACTCCATACCAGCGAAGTATAAAAGTTAATGTGTAAGTTAAAAATCCTTAGTCCTCCTTGTTCGTGTTTTCCGGGTGCCTTCAAGGTAAACAGTGCGTTTGGACGGTGCTCTCTCTGCACACTACAGAACCAACACTCAGCCTCAGCCAAAATCCATTTTTCAATAAATAAAACCCCCTCCCTCCAGTTTCCCCCAATTCCCAAATAAGCTACACAGATGGTCAGGCAGGGTCCAGGAGGCCTGAAGGATAAAACGTCCAGGATCGGGAGATGGGCGGCCTAGCAGACCGCTTGTGGCTCAGACCTGGTGACTTTTTGCAGAGACCTCAGTATGAGAACAGCAGACAGACGAAGACCTTGACTTAGCGCAAAAGGAGACAAGACAGGACAGAAAGAGCTTCTGCTTTTTTCTACTTTGTTTGGTTTTCCTGCTAGTCCCACAAAGCTGAGGGGCAGCAGGTCAGGTGAGCCAAGTTGTCTTGCTGCTCACACTGTCTTGGGTGACTATGCCTGTACTTCAAGGCCACTCTGCTGTCACCTTGTGTGGCCCAGGCCAGGGCTGAGCAAGAGCACCGGCTCTGGGGGTCACTGGGTCCGACCGAGGAGGCAATCGATCTGCATTTTTGCTGTTCCTTCCTTCCCTCTGGGCCCTTTTCCACTAGGCCCAGGACACACAGTCAGGATGGATGGACCTGGAGACAGGAAGGGCCTGGACGGAGGGAGATGGGCAGGAGATGGGCAGGTGCCAGTGGGCAACTTCACATGAGCTGGGGCTGCTGCATAGCTTCTTGGTGTGCTGAAGGATACCACGACGTATAGCTGGGGATGTAGGAGCCCGCACTGCTGCCTGAGCCTTTCCCCGTTGAAGAGTTAGGGTTCCAACCTGGAGGCACGGATGGGGAGCCCGCGGACAGGGCCCTGCCATTGGCCAGCGCACTGCCCTCCAGGGCCGCTCCGCCCTGCTTCATCAGCTTCTTGAACTTGGAGCGCTTGTTCTGGAACCAGATCTTGACCTGCAAGATCGGAAAACAAAGTGACTTGGGCTGAGAGCCCACTAAGCCCACCTAGTTTTCAGAGTGGAGGGAACGGCGGGAGAGCAGAGCCTGGAGGTCCCTCTGCCCAGCGCAAGCTGGTAGTTCCCGGCTGGAGCCACAACGCACACCCACCCCCCAACACACACACACACACACACACACACACACACACACACACACACACACACACACACGGGAGGAAGAGCCAGGAAGCCCGACCTTGGCCTAGGGCGCCTGCAGGCACTGCACCCCCAGAGCCAGGGGGCGTGGTGTGGGGGCCGTGCGGAAGGTCCTGGGCTTCTCCGGGAGACTGGACGCCAACACAACCCCCCCCCCCCGCAATTCCTATATCAATATCAATAAAAGAATCAAAAACCTGGATAGGAGTGGAGGAAATTTATTTGTAGCTCTACCGGTTTCTCTTTGCGCCATCCTTTCGGCCCCTGAATGAATTGAGGACTGAGGAGGCAGCAAGTTTTTTTTGTGGAACTTTGGACTCAAACCAAACCTTTCCCTAGGGTTTGTTTGCTTTCCCCAGGTCCAATCCAAATCCCGGGCCGGGCCGGACGCTGGAAACCCGCGCCAGCCGCGGTCAGAAGGCCCACGAACTCCCCGAAGTCTTGGAGATGTCCAAGAAGGAGAATCTCGTTTCTTCGCTAGGGTCTGGGACTTTGGGAGGTGAGCAGGCCGAGGGAAGGATTCCCTGCGCCACTCGGTGAGAGGAAGAGGAAGACACAGGCACTCCCCTGGGCCCCCGGTGAGGAGCCACACACTTTACAGGCAAAGGAGGGGTTAAGTCCCGCGTCTATTGTTCCAGTTGTTCGGCCACGCGTGACCTCTGAATCCCCAAACAAGATGTCCGGGGAAATCCTTCCTGCACCCTAACCAGATGTCCAGGGACAGGACAGAGGAGCAGGCAGCAAACAAGTTGGGGTGCAGAGGGCAGCGACCGAGCTAGGGCAGTGAAAATGTGAGAGGAAGGGGAGACACCAGGAGCCTGGGTGGATACACCCACACAGTGACACCCCGACCATGAGGCCCACAGAGCCAGAAGTGGAGCCCAGGGCTCAGACCCAGCCTCGAGAAGCCTGCTTGGCGCAGAGGCAGCGGCGAGGTACCTGAGTCTGCGTGAGTCCCAAGGAGGCCGCGAGCTCCGCCCTCTCAGGCAGAGCCAAGTACTGAGTTTGCTGGAACCTCCGGTTCAAAGCCTGCAACTGCAAACTGGAATAAATTGTCCTGGGTTTGCGGATCTTCTTCCCTTTGCCATTGAAGCGCACTTCACCGCCCTCCACCACGGTGCTCTTCTCGGAGTCCGCCCCTGCAGCGACAGCAGAAGTGGGGTCGTTAACACAGGGGCTGCCTTTAGTGTGGAGAGACGAGAACGGGCGGCAGTCGAGGGGATGGCAGAGACCGGCCGGGAACAGCGCGTTCCAGAAACTCTGGAAGCCTGGGAGGGACTTCCAAAGTCTGAGGGCCAGTCCCGGGCTGCTGCAGACAGGATGGGGCCGTCATGGGAGAGCAGCAATTGCCTTTGCAGGGAAAGTTTGCTATTTTTGCAGGCGGTAGTTGAGGTTTAATTACCCTTAATTGCATACATTGTTTATAGCGCCACGCAATAAATAATTACCGAGACTAATACGTGCACATGTGGGTTTCTTTTTTCCAGCAGGGCACTGTGTGCTCGACACACCGAGCGGCTCAGAGGCCCAGCCGGTGCCAGGAGACGCTCTCTTGGATTTCTCCTTTGCTAGACATTTGCGAACTGGGTGGATTTCTAAAATCTTTGCTAGGACAGGTATCCATAGGTTGATATCCGAAACCTCCACTGCTTCCGCGCCCTCCCCACCCCCACCCCACCTCTCTCTGCCCCTCTTCTCCTGTCTTCCCTCTCTCCCCCTCGTGCTCCCCCTCGCGCCTTCTTTCCTTCGCTTCCTCTCCCTGGCAAGCGCACGTACCTGGGTCCTCCAGGCGGCTCTGGGCGAGGCTGGCGCTGCCGGGGTAGGACTGCACCGAACTGATGTAGGGGCTGGACGCGTGGCTGCTGACCGAGTTGACGTAGGGGTAGCCCAGTGGTCGGGAGAAGGACGAGGCCGAGCTGTAGGCACCGTCGGGCTGCGTGTGGCCCGCCGAGTGTAAACAGTGCATGGAGTAGTGCCCGTGGGACATGGGAGAAGGAGACATTTGCTGGTTGGGCGGCCCAAACTCCATAAACACCGCCTTGCCCGACACGGGGCTGTTGAGACTTTCTGGCATGGTGGTCATGGTCATCTCTTCTCGCGGGGTCTGGGTGTGGGTCTTTCTCTCCTCTGCTTCCCTTTTGGGGGTCTCTATGTTTCTCAGGACAGGAAGGAACCCAATTTAAGCGGAACAGGGGTTTTCACTTTCCATTCATAAGAAAATGGAGTTTGTGTCTTTGAAAAGTCTAAGCATGATGCTCCGAGCTCCCCAAACTCGGTTCAAAGCTTTGACTCAGCCAAGGTCATAAATATTCATGAGCTGGCGGAGCTGATTGGTCCGTCGTCTTGCATAATCACCGGGGATTGGTCCGAGACGCTTCGGCTCCTCTGGACTAGAGCGGGCGAGGCGGCCGGGCCTCGGGAGAGACGCGTCGGTACTTCCCGGCCCGGGCTCCTCTGCAACAGACCGCGAGGTGCGGGACGCACAATGGGCTGCCGCGTCCGCGCTGGGACCTCAGAGGCCTGCTCGTCAGACTCCCGCCTCCCTGGCGCGCTTTGCCCCTTAGAAACCAACCAGTGCTCCCAGCCATCGCCGCCCTCTACCGTCCCCACCCTTCACCCGCCCCCAACGTCGGGGACCAGGGAACTGCTTGTGGTCGCCTCCACCCAGGCCAATGCTGATCTAGGGTGGTTCTGGTCGCGGCCTCTGGATGGCGAAGTCGCGCGCTGAGGGGCGCCCAAGGAAGCCTGCAGACAGTGGTCCTTCGGAACGTCCCGCGCCTAGTTCAGCGCCCTCCTAGCCGCACCCCCCACCCCCGGCCCGGTCCGCTGTACCACAACCCTGACGCCGGGGTTTCCGGGCCTGCAGACCAACTTACTCACTGGGCCGCCGCGCCGCCGTCGCCGCCGCCGCTCCCAGGGCCCCGCTCGCATCGCTCTAGGCCGGGTTGGCCACTCCAGCTCTAGGCTGCACCGGTCTGATTAAAGCAGTGCGCGTGGAGAGCCAGGAGCCCGCGCTTCTCCTCCCTGGAAAGGCTGCCGCACCGCCTCCCTCCCCCAACACACACACCCTCTTTTCCTCCCCACCTTCCTGCGCTCCCCCTCCCCTCTCCACTCCCTCTGAGCCGTGCGCCCGGGGCGCACTCGCCCCGAGGGCGCGGCTCAGCGCGGAGTCCAGGGCCCCGCGGCCGGGTGCTATCAAAGCGGCAGTGCCAGGGGGTCATTTTCCGCCCTCCTGGGGTCTGGTGGGAGTATCTGGGGTTCTGGACCCTTTGGGGGACATCAAACCCGCAGCAACGCCAGGCCTGTAGTAGGCAAGACTATGTATAGACATGTTTATGTCGCCCAGTTTCTTCCTTACCTCCAGTAGCCAAAGCTGGCTCCGCCGGGCCTGGGGGCAGGGCTGGTGTAGGACAGAGCTGCCGCGGCGCCTCGTGTCCTCTGGGGTGCAAGGTACAGAAAAGCGTACGAATGTCCCCCCCGCCCCGCCCGCCCGCCACTGCTAACTACACAGCGACCCCCAAGCGGCGTTGGCGCACGCTACGCTGGTTGCTAGGGGCTGCTGGTTCCCCATCCCGCCAGCCCCACGGTGAATCCCAAATTACTTTGTTAGGTAATTAGAAAGTGTTGATAATTATTTCTTTCATAATTTAGCGGTGTGAAGGGAACGGGGAAATGATCTTGTGAAAGTTCACACGTGCAGATGTATTAGTTACTGATTCATTTGATTAAATGGTAGTCTCAAGTGCTCAGATCCGCAGCTGAAGGCGCCCCATTAGCATAACACTGATGTTTAATTTTCATACGCATAATTAGCCATATATTTAACACTAATAGCAACATGCAGCCTTTCAGCGTTAAACAGCCCGGGATTTGATCTGGCCTGAGCTGAACCTTCGCGCTGCACCTTCCCCTGTCTGGAGTGTGCAGTGATCACAGGACAAACCTCTGTAATCAAGCACATTTTGGCAGAGGGAACACCAATAAAAACGAACATTCAAAACAAATTACATCGGTGCTGTCGTTACAGATATTAGAGGGGTTTCTCTCTTTCTAAACTTCTATAGCAGCAGCGCCTGCCTGCTCGGCAGAATTTCTCTCCTTAGGTTTTAAGGGCTCGATGCTGGGAGCTGAAATATTTACGGCAGCCTTGTTGGAGCAAAAGAGAAAAACAAAAAGCAACAACACTCCCAACAAATTCGATCTTTCAAACTAATAACGGTTTTGCCAATGGTTTAAAGATTTTTTTTTTTTCCTTAACCACCGAACCACACGGTGAGGCTTTGTAGCACCAGCCAGGTAATGACTCTGCCACTAGACAACTCCTGGAGACCTTAGGCTCGTCTTGATTTCTGTCGCACTTGTGGTTTTAATTGCTCCTTTCTAGCGCCTGTTTTGGGGTGTGGAGTGCCGTCCTGTGCACCCAGCACAGCTGCTCCGAAGCTGCCGAGCCCCGGGTCTGTCGCGTGCGCCTTGCGGGCCCTGCCCACGTAAGTGATCGCTATGGCCGGCACAGGGTAGAGGTTGGGACCGGGGAAGGTGACACTGGCGTTTTGGGTAGCTCTGGGCAGGGCCTGAGGGAATCCGACGGCCGGGCTGCCAAGGACCACTTTCTCCCAGAGAATTGCAAGTGGGGGGAAGGGAAGAGAGACGGTCGCACGTCGCGAGTCTTCTGCGTGCTAGTCCTTCCACGGGAGTGGGGGTGGGGACATTTTCTGACTTACAGAACAAAGGTCTGGCACGCACTTCCTCGGGATAAGATTTCAGGGACTTGCTTAATTTAGAATTGAGTTGTGCGTAGGCGAAGGTGTGCCTAACTATAGACATTTCTTACTGAAGAAGCAGGTTCACTGAGATGAGTTGTGCAGCCGCGGAAGCTAGCTTCCCAAGGTTGGGATCTCTACTACAAGCTGTGAATGGCTCCCTCCCATCGCCCCACCTCTAAGGCAGCACCTGTTCTAAAGTGCTGGTTTGCTTAGGTCTTTGCGTGTCCCAACTCAGAGGAAACAAAATTGTATTAGTGTTGAACGTTTGGAATTAGAATGGATTGGAATCACTTGAAGACCAGGTAGCCCTGGTGGTTGTAGCTTAGCCATACTTGGCGGTAAGCCTTGCATCTCTAGGTTAGGTCTGAACTGGCAGAGGGGCAAGAAGACCTAGATGAGGTGCTTTAAAAATCTACTTTCTAATTTCAAGTTCCACATAATGAGTTAAACAGACGTGTAAGTCAAGTTTGTTTCCTACTGCTGAGTGTTGCAGTACTGGATGGAGAATATAATCTTTCGGTTAGTCACTTTAATAAATAGGATTAAGTGCCTGTCCCACAAATACCTCCACCTGAAGATAATTGCTGCACAAGCAGTGTGTTGCCCCTGTGGTTGGTAACATCCTGTGATCCTAATAAAACTATCCTTAAGGAACCCTGGCGTAAACTCATCTACAGATAAAGCTACTGTGCTAATCACTGCAATGTGATTGCTCTAGGAGAGAAATGAAGTCATTCTCTGGCAAAGATCTCCCAAGGCCAACTGGGCCCTGTTCTTCTCTGAGGAGTTATTTTGGGACAACAGCCTCAGGCTAAGAGCCTCTGCCTGGCGAACTCTTCACTTCAAAAGTTTATCTGTTTATCTCAGGAGATACTGAAACTACTTCCTCTCCTTTTCCAGCTCTCTGACCCACTAAAACCAGATTCACTCTATCTAAAACTCTTCTTCCCTGAATGCAGAGAATCCAGTCTGGAGGGTTAAGGACCACTGTGAGGATTCCTAGTCTAGGGAAACACTGGAACTCATTTGCAAGTCCCTTTATTGTCCTCAGTTTCCATCTCCTTCCTCACCACTCTGGGTGGCACAAAGGTGGTCAACTCCTGGGTCCAGCTGACACTATCAGTCATGGCAAATACAGGTGCCCACATTCCCTTGGCACATTTGAGCCCAAATTGTATTTAGCCAGGGGCAATTTTGCAAAGCCCTCTATAATAGAAACAACTGGCCTTGTTGTTTTGCAACCACTGGCCTTGATGCATCTCCACTGAAGTTGTTCCTAAAGCCATACTCAGAGGGACAGACTTCCTTCATGGCCTACTAGAGGCCCAACCATTTCCCATCCTTTAGCCAGTGGTGAGCAGGTCCTGGAGAGTGACCCAAGCAAACGTCTCTTCTGTGTCAGAATGCTGCTGGGGCAACAAATCCAGCTGTGGCACCTGGATTTCTGCTCCTAAGCGGGTTGGAGCACCAGCCATTAGAAACAGAGTGAAAACTGCCAGCTCAGGCCAGGCCAGGCTGTCTCACATGCACCCACCCCGCTCCATACCTGACCTTTTAAGTCCCGGGAGCCTCAGGGAGGGAGCCCCTGGAAGGCCAGCATAGGAGGTCAGTTTAGGAATAAGCAGGCCAGCTAACTAGCCAGATGCTGTTCACATCTGGGTGAGTGGGGCCCGAAGCTCAAATTCCTAGTGTAACAAACGGTCCAGTGTGTGAATGGGGGTGGGGTGGGGGTGGGAGGGTCTCAAACTGAATCTGGGGAGGGGCAAGGAGAGGTAGTTGTGAGCAGAGGAAGAGCCGCAGACCAGGGAAGTCTTGTTTCTGGATTGAAAAACACCCTGCAGAAGGGCAGGCCCAGGGTGCACACCCCAGAAAATGTTTGTAGTCAGTGCTTCCCATTGCGGGTTACTCTCAAGGAAAAGCCAAGATGAAGAAGTAATAAAAGGAAGGGCAGGGGTGGCAGCAGGTACTGGCACCTGGCTGTGCCCCCAGGACTGGCCAGCGTGGGACCGCCAATAGGTAAAACAGATTTTTAAAATACTCCAGCTAACAGATTCGGGTTTTTCCGTGCGCGGTGTGTAAAAAAGTTCAGACTCAAAAAGAATTAACCACCTCTCCTGGCCGCCTTGTACTGTCAGCCGCAAGGAACACAGACACAGAGGGTTTAACGGGTTTTTACTAAGGCAGGGTCTGGGCAAGGGGCCGGGAACTGCGCTTCTCCAGGCGTCGCTCTGAGCCCTAAGTAGAGCGTCCCCTTTTCTCTTCCCGCCGGAGGCGAGCCCGTGGCCGCAGCTTCCTTTCCGAGCCGCTGGGCTGGCCCGGACTGCGGCTCGCATTTCCCAGTGCCACCGCACTTCTCCCTGCACGCTGAGGTGGTAGGTAGGTTCCTTCGCGATCTGCCCTTCCCCTTTCATTTAAAAGTGTTCAGCAATTGCAAATAATGGTGCCAGGCCTCTCCAACTTTGGGGCCACTTCTCAGGCTTCGTGCGGCAGCTTGGTTAGGATCTTTGCGCCCCGCGACGTGATGAGAACGGTGTGTTCGAACTGGGCCGACCTGAAAAGACACGCTGTGGTCAGGGCACTAGTGAGCCAGCCAGCACCCGCGCCCCAGGCAGTAGCTCCCTCTGGACTGCGCTCCGTCCCACCAAGCTCCCCTTCCCCAACACCTTAAAAGGGACAGGGCTCAAAGCAAACACCTTTGGTTGTCCAGGGAGACCACAGTCCAGGCATCTTCCAGGACTTTAAATTCAGGAGATCCCTCGGTGATGATTGGCTCTGTAAAAGAGAAAATATTTACAGCGGTGACCTCATCAGGTTCTTGTCAAACACCGTTTCAGCTGATGAGAAAGAGACAGAGAGACAGAGGAAGACAGAGTCCCCCCAAGTCCTTCACCCACGGACTCCTGTTGTCATCTTGCAAGGGCTGCTAATTGATGTTGCTTACATAGTATATTGCAAACTAAACAGTAGGAAAAGGAAGCACCATGACACTAAAAAGTGTATTAAGTTGCCTAGTTCATAATTTTTTAAAGAAGGGCATTTTAATCAAGGCTTAATTAGGACCCCGTGGATAATAACCATCCAAACACAGTCCTCCTTATAAATACCAGTCAGTTTTTAAAAATATTTGAATTTTAAAAACATGCTTAAAATGTTCATTAATCAGCAAATAACAATTTTCTTATTTCACTCTAATTGCTTCTCTATTAAGTCCCACAGTCAGAAATGGGAGGCCTTCGTGGCCCTAGGTGACCGGAACTTGTTGGTGACACCAATCAGGATCAGCCAGGAATGGGCCACCAGAGAGCACATGCCACTTGCTGACAGGCAACAAGGGACATAATCACCTCTAGTTACTGGGTGTTAATGAAAAAACAAAACACAACAAAAAAATAAAACCAAACACCACATTAGGCTGGTAACAGAATTAGGGGTTGGATGGCTGCCGTCCCCTAAATGTGTCGGTAAGTATCTGATTTAGGAAGATGGGGCTCAAGGATATTATTTAATCAGATTTACTATGCATCTGAATTATTTCATTATGCTGATTGGCTTTATTAGTCCTTCAAGGGACTGCTGGCCTAAGCCAGCGCCACAGCTTCCACCCATGAGCCACAGCTCTGAGAGAGGAGCCCCAGCTTTACCTATAGTGAATGCCATGCCCTCTTCCATGAGCAGGTCATTGTCATTTGCTGCAAAACAAAACACAAGGGGAGACTGGGCTGAGAATATGAAAACAGAACAGAGAGGAACAGATTTAGGGGAGTTGGGGAACCTTAAAAAACTCTCAGGAAGAAAGAAATCTGGAGGCTTGCAGATTCCTGCATGACCCCAGGGTCAAACATGGGGCTCCTGGGCTTCAGCACTTGCAGTGCTGTGCTCTGGGTCAAGACCTTATTCTGTGCAATTTCCCAAAGTTTGGTGGGGGAAACTAGGTGTTTTAGACACCTGTCAGGTTCCCTCTTCCCCTCTTTATATCCCAGACCCCCTGCTGATAGGTCTCCTGGTCTCACTGGGTCCTGGGCTTTTTCCTATCCCTGACGCAGAGAAAAAGAAATCTTCAGGAAGGATGGAAAGACAAGATAGCATGCAGCATGTGGGGTGGGCTAGGAGATGGGGTCACCATCCTCAACTCCAAGGATGGGCATTAAATGGGACATAAGCCTAGCTGACCACCCAATTTCTGCATTCTTACCTTAGACCTCTTCTGAGCTGCCTGAAGTGGAGCGTTTTGGTCTGAAGGGGTTCTGCCAGCTGGGTCCCTAAGGATCTGCCAGCAGTTGTTAAAGGCAGTAGTTCCCCTAGGACTCACTGTTACTCTCATAGGTCCAGACCCCAGGACTAACTTTTCATTGGTCCCAATCCAAAATGTCCCATTGCCTTGGGGCTCCTCCATACAGCTATTTCCTACCTTCACCCAACTCCACCCACCCCTTTGGGCCCACTCCTGTCTTCTCACTGCGGAATGCCCACCCAGGCAGTGAAAACCAGGAAACTCTGGGGAAGGAACACAAGGGTGGGCATAATCGAGACATCACTGAAGTGTTCATGTGCTAAATACATCAGCTGTCAACGCTGTGTAGGATGTAATGAAGTTAAACCACAACAGTCAGCGGTTAGAAGAGGGGTAGAAAAAGAAACAGAAAGCAGTCATATGTGCAGGCTGCTGGGACAGGGATGCACTGGCATTCTGTTTGCAGTAACTTCTTCTCAATAAGTACCCTTGATGGCTTCTAGCCATGGACCATTTAGGAGAAGACAAGCACCAGGAAAAGCTTTATTTGGGGATTGAAACTGTGAGGCTCTAATCTACTAACATGGTAATGTGCTGCTTGGAATTAAGTAGATATTCTACACACACACACACACACACACACACACACACACGCACGCACGCATGGACTCAAAGCATGAGGAAAAACTTCAGGAGAAAAACTGCTTTACCCTGAAACCGGTTATTCAATAAACAGCTTCCAAATTAACTTTCTTACCGTGATGCCAAATTTCTGGATGTCCATGAAAGTAAGATCCTATTCCATGTCCCACAAAGTGTGGACAGACTTGGAAACCATTCTGATGAGTTATGTGGCTTTAAAAGTGACCAAAAGATATTAAACTAAATTAGATAAAATCATAATGCTTACTAAATAAAAATTAAGTCATTTAAAATATTCTCTGAAAAAGAAAAAAAATCCGTTCTATTAGAGTTAGATAATAATGTGTTTCCTTTATCCCAGAATAATTTAAATTTTTGCTGATGCTTATAACAACTCCCTTTAGATATATGAAAAAAGTTATATATCTAACATAATAGTTTGAGTCATTTATTGTAACATAGATTTCAAACTAGGTCATTTTGGACAAGAAATGAATATGCATACACATAAATTAATATACATAACTAAGATATATGTACATATAATGTAGGTCATAAAAACTTAATTGGCTTTTGTGGTTGTAGGGGTAAATTACTGTATAAATTCCTACTGATTTGGAAACTAAAGAAAATTACAATCTAGAAATACAGCTTTCCATTATGTTGTCCTTCATTCTGGTCTATTTCAAAATGTTATATACTTCACAGATACATTCACAAAAAAAGATCAAATCTGTTTTGTCAATTTTCTTGAAATACTTCCAATTTTGTGAGAATTGTGGTGTTCTACTCAAGACCTATTCACAAAATTCATAAATAATATTTTTTAATTACTATTACACTTAAGAGAAGCTAGTATTGTCATTCCTAATTCTTAATACTTCATTAGATATTTTTACATGTAAATGTTTTGGGTTCTATGTATTCCTTATAAATGAAATCTACCACAAAGAATCAACTCTAAAATCTTAACCCACAAGGCTGAATTGGGAGGGAGGAGTATTGAGAATCAAACCCAGGAACTCCACACCGAGTGACATCCCTACCCCTTTTTAAGGGTTTTTGTTTGTTTGTTTGTTTTTTAAGTAAGAGTATTCTTAAGCTGCCCAGGTTGGGCTCAAATTTGTGACCTTCCTGCCTCAGTCTTCCAGAGTGCTGGGATTACAGACATGTGCTGTCATGCCTGGCTAGATATCTTCATGTGGAAAAAGGGCACAATATCCTTCACATTACCCTTAAGAATGAATTGGAATTCATAGAACTATGTTGCAATTCCTAACAAATCCTAAAATTTTAGCTTTCAAATTATAATTTCCTGCAGACTGTAGGTTTGCTTTAACACAAACCCTCACCTTTGTGGACATTTGTGTCTGTATACATTTTTGGAAATATTTTTAATTACTGCCTTACATTTCTAAGATGTCACTATAACAAACAGATGGAAGCTTCTACTGAAATTTAATTTTTTTGTAACTGACAGTACAAAAATAGGTAAGCCATGAAAATGCTGAGGACAAGAGCAAGTCAATGTTTTATGTCTTAAGTTATAATTCTGGTTATGGCTATTTCTGTGGGTCTTTGCACTGTGGACAGCAGGTATAACATCTTTTCCAAGGTGCTTCTATGTGTTCCACACAATTTTTGAATAGAAACTGAGTGGAATTTGGACAGAGGGTAGAAAAAATATGACTAAATAGATTATAATCTACTCCCTTTAGAAACAAAAATGGGTTTTACCTCCACCTATAAGTAGTGTTAGTTCAGTTACAACAAATCTCAGAGATTCTAAAAGGATTCAATAGAAACTATTCTCTTATTTTCTTTTCTTAAAATGAAAAAATACTAGTTTTCTTTTTTTATGCCTCCCCACCCCCACCCCCCCACCCCCCGCCCAAGAATCCAAGTGATGGGCAGGCATCACAGCTACATCTTAAATGTGTGTTACAATGGCAATCTTCATTTTAGCTTCCGATGAGAGCAGAGGAAGAAAGCTCACTCTGAAAAACCCTCAGGGTCCCTCCCTCATCATACTTCTCATTCCTCTTCATAAAAGAAGCTGTGCGATTACTAAGTGGCTAAAGACATCGGAGTGCATTCTCTACAATTTGCTCCCTGGGTCCTGCTAGAACTTCTGGCTATAGCAGTATCACAGAATATGTGTCACAGATGCAAAGATTAGCGGAGTTTTACAGCGGAAGGAAAAAAGAAAAAGAACCAGACAAGTTTCTGTCACTTCCTTAGCTGACCACCCATCTCAGTGCCTGTCTGCCAGGGACTGAGAATACACTTCTGCTTTTCAGGGTATTTTCCTTTGGACTGGCAGTTACTTTTTAATATACACTTACTGAGGCTAAGTGGGATAAAATCTCATTAATGTTCCTAATTACTGTTTAAAGGCACGTGCCTTCTGTTATTTTGGGATACACTTGTGAGCACAAGATTATTCACCTGATTGTGGGGTTTTAATCTGATTTCACAATCTAAGTGACTAGTGGTAGCAAACTTCACTCCTCTAACACTGAAAGAAGTGCAGGTCACCCTAACTGTGGCAGGGGAGGCGGAGTGTGCATCTATCTCTCTCTTGACTGGGATGTGTGGTAAATGGAAAGAGCAAGGCAGGCACAAGTGTCCAAAGAGCACCACCGTTCCCCCGACACCAGCCAACGCAGGGCCAGGACCCATTGCTGAGCACCAGGGTTTTCCTGCCCTGAACACTGCACGATGAATTCTTCCTTCTTCTTGCTGAAATCTACTGCAGCATTCTCCTGATAGTCACTCTTCTGTTCTGACTTCTTTAACTAAAAAGCCTTTAAGATAGTGTGACACCTACTGATGAGCCCAGCACACTGATTCTCTGAAGCCTTTCATATGGATTATTGGGAGACAGAGAAGAGGAAGGTGTAAAAAGGTAGTTTATGAGTTTATTTTCAATTATACTATATCATTACAGTTCATATTGTAGTCACAGTTTACAGCTGAAAGAGAAATTTCTTTTAGGAATTTCATCTTGTGACCATTTTCTTCCGTTTATTCTCTTTCTTGAGGCAGTTGGACTCAATTCAAGTGTTGTCTAGATAAATGAAATTTCTTAATATATTTCAACTACTTTCATGCCTAAAAGTACATTCCCCAAGAGGCAGAGAAGCACTATGTTTAAGTACATCCTCTTACAGAGAAGTCAAAAAGCACATGGAAATGCCATTACCATTTCTATAAGAATCTTATAAAGCAACACTAACCTCCAAAGGGTCACATCTCTCTAATAGAGGGTCTCATATGTGATTTGATATGTTTCGAATTATACCTTAATCTTTTTAGATTATTAATTTAGGCAGTAGTGTTTGAATGAAGGAATGTACAAATCCAGGGATTCCATCTAATGACAGGAATGTTTAAGTACAATTAGTAATATTTTTGAAAGCCAACAACTGTTTTCCTGAAGAGTGGTATACTTTTTTTTTGTTTCAAACTGGATCACAAATTACTGTATTTTCTTACAATAGTGCTGAACTTTTATTTGAGGTTTTCTGTTTCTGAAAAGCAGACATGATGGATTGAAATAAAAGATAATTTATGGCAATGCTTACTTTCCTGTGTAGAGAGAAGCAGTGTAATTGTAATTTACAGTAGCTGTCAAGAAAAATCCATCACAGATGACATTAAAATGACTTATTTTGCCTGAGCCACTTATTGTTTAAATGTGCATAATCTAATAGAAAGAGATTATTTTTAAAAATCTGCTTTATATTGTTCTAAATTAATATCAAAACATACACTTATGAATTAAACATTAAAAACTATTTATTGATACTTTCATCATGACATTACGTTATTTTTTGATTGAACTATCATATATTGTGATGCATGCAGCTACACACTCATGATATTTTCACACAGACACTAGAGATATAATTATAAAAATACGGATGTAGGAATATTTGGGAGCAAGTGGAGATACACTGAGTATAAGAACACTCTGGCCTAAAGATTACTAAGCATCCCGCACAAAGCAAAAGGGCATAAAGAGAACTCTTTTCATGAAATCATTTTAGCTGATATTTCTTCAGAAACTTCATCCTATTCTTTAGGCTTTAGGGGAGAATTTCAGAATTTCCTGTAGAGTTCTCAATTTTGGGGTAATATGACATTAATACAAGATGCTTGAATGTTCTTTTCAGAATGCAGCAGTAAAAGGAAGCTATGTAAACACCGTTAATACCTTAAAATAAATGAGGCTGATATGAAAAATGTTTGGAAACCTTTGTTCTGTAACGATTTTAAGTACTTTGGGCTCAAAGGTGATTATCATTTGTTTATTTACTTGCTTAAGATTTTGCCTGAATAAGAAAAGGCAAAATAACGGATGGCCAGAAAAACTGCTTTAAAACATCAGAACAAAAATTTGTTAGAATTGAGGCCAGTCTCTTTGCCAGCGGCAGACATAAACCATCTAAATAATGAAATGCATTAGGGTAAAAGTAAAAAGTTCATTGTCTGTTATTTTCCACATAGTGTTTTTTGTACGTGCAGTTGTTGGGACTGATCTGGTTTTCAAAGGAGCTTGCACATGCAAATCCGTACTCTGCAAAAACTGACCTTTGCATCCAGATAGCTAAAATCCAATGTCATTTTCAATTCTACTCTTCTTCACCGTCTTTTTTTTTATGTAGTTAGAATTAATGTAGTGAATATGTAATGAAATGCATTATCTTGCATGGAGATTTATCAGATTTTCCGACTGAATGCTAGGCTTTGCTAGTACTAGCTGGAGTTCACCTGCATGTTGGTGTGGCGTGTGGCTCTTTTTTGTAAAGAGTTAAGTCGTACACAAAAAAAGGGAACAAAGGTCAGCACCCAGCCACCACTTGAATGTGAGATTTTTCTTTTTATTCCCCTTGATGTATACTAGGCTCTGTGTTATTAGTCTTAATGATGGAAAATTGTAGTGTTGATACAAATCTTTTTTTCAAAGTAGTAGGCGGGAGCTCCATTTGTTAGTAAGTTTTTTTTGTGACTAAAAGCCACGGACAGTACATTTATGTAGCAGTAAAAGGCCTAGATGCTCTTTCCATAGCAGAGCTAATTATTCCCACTGTGACCTTACTGATCTAGCCTGTTCCTAGTACATCTCATCTGCACGCCTGTTCCTCTGTGTAGATGGTGTCAGAGAATATGAAAAACCCTATAATGAAACCATTTTCATGATGGAGAAAGGCTACTGGAGTTGCACTTGCTACAAAGAGGCTCAATTATATGAGTAATTGTGATAATTTTCTACATTCATAGCCTTCAATGGGGAAAAAAGAATGAGAGCCACAAAGGAAAATTACTTTAACAAGAAAGTACAGAGAGTAAAAATGGAAGAAGAGACAAAAAGGGGAAAAAATAACCAGAAAAAAAGTTTAAAAAATAGATCTGGAGGGAGGAATAGCGAGACAGGGAGAACAACAGAAATGCTCAAAAGCCCTGTGCAGCTGTGTTGCACAATTAAATTGAATTTTTTTTCTGCAGTTGATGAATGTGACTACTGCAAATGTGCCTCTGTAGTTAGCTATCATTTGTTGTTCCGTGACAGGAAAAGGATAATTACCTCTCAGAGAGAATCAAAGGCTGACATGCCCTTTAGACACAGCCATGAATGCAGAGCTCGATAGAATGCTTGAATAAGAATCTAGTGTTCTCTGCCCCCTTCTACTGAAGAATAAATTTTGTTAAAATGCAAGAGCACCACCAGTAAATTTGTTGAACCCTAGGTGTTCAAAAATATGAGGTGCATCTATCGACTCATCCCATTTGCAAAAATAAAACTGCATTTTGAATTCATTTCTATTATATTCATGGACAGTAAGATAGTGAGATATGCATTAAATTTCTTTTCCCAGTAGGGGTCTGATTCAACATTTCCTATGAAAGAACAGAGAGACACTATCCTTTTTTCCCAGGCTAGTTAGCCTATAATTTAAAACTGTCAAAAACACAATTTTGTTCAAAGTCTTCAATAAAAGCTTCTCAGATATAACCCAAAGAGATTTTACTAAAGTTTGATTCAGACACTGTTACAATATTTTTAAAGCCATAAATACATTTAACTGATATTTTACTGCCTTTTTCCTTAAAGTATTTGGAGATGTTTGAAGGAAAAAGGCAGCATCTTTTCAAGGTGACTAAGCCTTCCATCTTTTAGACAAATGGGAAGTATTCAATGGTTCATATTAATGAGAACAGTACTTTGAGGGGTACCGATGTGAACATCTTTAACAAATGCATTACTTTTAAATGAAAACACATATTCTGCATGTCTACTTCAAAACAGTTAAGGGGGAGAAAGACCTGGAAGTAGGTAGCAGACTACAAAGAAAACTCATGAATTCAGAAAACACATCCACTCCAAAAGCAAGCATGGAACACTGTGCGGAAAATATATAGTGGATTATGGGGAAAATGAATCAGACCAAAAAAGGATAGAAGAGCACTCTTTCAGGATGTTTGCTAATTTACTAACTTGAAAGGTAAGGCTTTCCTAACACTTCTCATCTTTCCACCACAGGAATATGTTTCCCTTCACTCCTTCATGAATTTTAGCTTTTCTCCATTCTCATTATTCAAGAATTCAGATGCACAGCCCCTTCTTAGGCACTTTCTTCCATATTTGGTGTGATTTTTGAGTAAATGAACTATATACAGACCAATATGTCAAGCTAGAACAAAAGCAGAATAGAAATATTGCTTGCTGCTCTAATAAGTTTCTTTGCTGACACTGGTTTATTTTATTTTTAAAACCTTGGTTTTTTTCAACCCAGGGAACAATATTGTAGCCTGGCAGACATATGGACATCCGACTGAAATGATGGTTCTGAATCATAAAACGTGTCATCAACTTTATACCAAGCCACCAATAACCTTTGTACCACTTGCCAACCCCCCTCACTGTCGGTGTGGAGCTTACCTGATTGTGTTTCCAATTACAGAGAAAGGGGCCCCTGCTCTGCAAGCTGCAATTGCTTCATCTCTGCACCTTTTGGCAACTTCCACTAACTTTTTACCACATTCATCCACATTGCCCACCAAAAATGTTTCAGAGGTGTCACCATGGTAGCCATTGTAATAGACCTAAACACAGGCAGAAGTTTTAAAATACATTCTTGCTTTAAAAAAAGTCTATTCTCCCAATTCACTTCTGTGTGTAGTAAAATCATGTATATTACCATTTCAGAATTATTATTTGCTTTCCCTAAAAAACAGATATACTAAAACCTTATAGAAATTAAAAAGATGAAGCTATATAATGATATTAGAAAAATTTGAAAAATAAATGTCTAGAATGGCTAGTTCAATATTCTGATTAACACTGCTACTGTAACATTTTGTTTCCTTACTTTATTTCAGAAGGCAAAACTATGTATGTAAAAATAGTGACCAAATATGTTGGTCTACACAATTGCCACAACAGATTTAGATAACTAAGGAGTATTTAACATAGTATAAAGCTTCTTCATAGTCACAAAGACTTATATCATCTTTTATTTCCAATTCTATATTTATTTCCAGTTCTATCACTTACTCCCAGTAAGTGATAAATAATGACAAGAATAAATAAGAAAGACATGTTGATATTGTAACAGAGGAAAGGAGAAAGTATTTTTTAAGAATTAAAATATATCAAAGTAGGAATGGAACACACTATAGAAAAAGCCTAGGTGAAGCAGTGAAATCATAACTGAGGTTCCAGATAGCAAAATATTAACTAAAAACACTTCAATGGGATTTTTAAAGAGTTAGAATATAACAAAACAAATTTATGAGTAAAATTATAGAAAATATGATTTCATCAGTCTTTAATGATTTAGAAGTCCTTCAGGGTCTTGAAAGACCCAAGTTTCACTGTAAAAAAAAAAAAAATCAATGATTACCAAACACTGTAGTAAATATAAACCTGGAGGAGACTGACTGAATATTGATCCCTGAATGTAGTACAGTATTTACTATTTACTATAGTATTTACTATTTTGCATAAATTTTCCCTAATTCTTTTTTACAGTTTTCTTTCTTATAAAGTAGAATGAAGAAACTTATAAGAGATACTTATCTTCACTTTGTGTTTTAATAATGACTATCTTAACGATGTACACTATTCTGCATCTTGATAAATGCTTTCCTATATTCCATGAAGAAAGCAAGAGATAGCTTTATAAAAATCTTCAGGAAATTAAGGCACAGACAGTTAACTTGTTGGGGATTAGTGACAGAATACAAAAGTAAACCAAGATTAATATGGACTGTTAGCTTCTAATCAAGTGTTTTCACTGCTGTAGAAATTATCTTTTTTTTTTTTTTTTTTTGTCTTTTTCCTTTTTATCGGTACCAGGGATCGAACTCACAACTGCCTGCTTGTAAGGCAGGCGCTTATGCCGCTGAGCTAAATCCCCAGCCCCTGTAGAAATTATCTTAACATAAGAGTAGTGTTTTACACATTTATTTCCATTTACGGTCCTTTGCAATCTAGGAAAGTATACATTTTGATTTTACATAGAATAATATGAAATTTGCTAATATAACTCTTCAAGAAATTTTGTAATGGTGAACTGTAGTTTTTAAAAGTACAAATGTAAGGGCTGGGGATCTAGCTCAGTGGTGTAAGCACCTGCCTGCTAAGCCTGAGGTCACGAGTTGGGTCCCCAGTAGTACAAATGTATTATTTTTTAAATTTTTATTTGTTTTTCATATTACTTTTTTGTTTTCAGTACTAAAGGTTGAACCCAGAGCCTTCACTTTGAGCTACATTCTTGGCTCTTTTTCATTTCTATTTTATGACAGGGTGTTGCTAAGTTGCTAAATTGCACAGGCTGGGCTTGAACTCAAAATCTTCCTGCCGTACTCTCCAGGGTGGCTGGGATTACAGGCATGTGCTACCAGTCATATTACTTTTTGCCAGTTTTTGAGATGAATACTTGAAAGATTAAATATATATGGAAATATAGTATTTTTGAAAGTCTGTGGTAGTCATTTATTTTTTATTTTTGGTACTGAGAATCAAACTCACGACCTTGTGCTTGCCAGGCAGGTGCTTTATGCCACTGAGCTAAATGCCCGGTACCTGTGATAGTCATTTATAAGTACTGTTTTTATCCACAAACTATTTTCGTTTTGTACTTGATTTACCTTAACAAATATTTATTAACCAACTACTAAGAGCATCGCATTGTCTTTTTAAAGAAAATTTAACCTTCAAGAGGAAAAAAAATTTATCTTCTCGTGAAATGTAGCAGACATAAACAACTACAAAGTTCAATAAGTATTTCCTGATAAACATTAGAACATGGTAATGCAGTTCTTCACCAAATAAAACATTTTATAAGAAATGTAATTTAAGGTAGTGAACTGTTTCCGAGACTCCTTCACATTTCTAGATAATTAATAATATAAACTACACTTATGAACTTTATGATTAAGATATTATAAATTTTAAAACTGAAATTACTTGTTAAAAATCTTTAAAAAACTTTGATAAGGAATAAAATACTCAATTTAGACACATTAGAAATAGAGAAGAATATGCCGATTTCATTCAGACAGTAATATTTTGTTAGAAGATGCTTAGGTAAAAAAAGAAATGTAAAACCCTAAAGTTGGGTTCAATCCAAAATATACCTCTAACATGAGAAATACTTTATTTTAGGTATGTTTCATAAAATTCCTCTTACATGATTCTGACTTGGAAAGATACCAACAGAATACGTGATGCAAATGTTCAAGTATTCTAGTGAGATGAAAAAAAGTATTCTATGCAGGACATAGAAAATAACTCAGCAATAAAAGGAATGTTGGCTCTATCCATGTATAAATTGATATGAAGAAACTTAACTAAAAATCTGACTGAATTCAAGTGTTGGATATCATCTCACTTCATTAGATTTTGTTTTGTTTTTTGGTACCGGGGATCAAACTCACGACCTTGCGCTTGCCAGGCAGGCACTTATGCTGCTGAGCTAAATCCCCAGGCCCCTCATTAGATTTTCATCTCATTCAATCTTTGCTATAGTTTGAATATAAATAGTTTGAATATAAATAACTATTAGCAAAAATATTCCCTCACTAACCAGGCATGCTAGTACACACCTGTAATCTCAGCACTCAGGAGGCTACAGCAGGGATACAATGAATTCTAAACCCTACATATTGAGTTTAAGGCTAGCTTGAACTACATAAGACCCTGCTTCAGAAAACAACAAAATTGGGGCTGGAAGATTAGCTCAGTGCATAAGCACCTGCCTGGCAAGCACAAGGTTGTGAGTCCCATTTCCAGTACCAAAAAAAAAAAAAAAAAAAAAACCCAATAAAACAAATGACCAAAAAAAAAAAAAAATTTACCTCATTACTAGCAACCATATTCCTATTATCCATCTCAACTAATTCTCATCACATATTTAAATTTTACTTAAAAATTATTTGTAAAATAAAGTAAGTATTTTATTTATAAAATAAAGTAAGCACAAATATTCCAAGTCTGAGAATGGTGAAGGGCTAAGAAACTTAGGAAAGGTTAGCACATTTGCAGTTTGAAGACCCACTGTTAAATTACTCATTTGTTATTTTTAAAAGATTGTTAACTATTTAGTGAAAACTTAAGTTCAGAGAGAAAACCACTCTACTTATATGCTTTGAGCTTGAGACTATATACCAGCAATGGAACATGATGTTACCTTCAGGGATTTTAATAAATCTAGGGAATTCTGCTAGCAAAAGAGTTGCTGTCCAAATAGACTGACACACAGGCCAATGTAGCCCCTAATGACAGAGTAAGATAATGACAGGCCCCACTCAGAATCAGCAGGAAGAGGAAGATCAATCTTGGCAGAGTGAAGGAAAAATGCTGGCTTTCTTCATGTTAGCTCATCTCATACATATCTAGCTTCAGCAGCTGCCCAGTGCTGTGGTGCTCTGCATTAACTACACAGTGGATCAATAACAATTACACCTTCTCAAAAACATGACACATAGCAGGATTGGGTTGACATTTCACTTAGGCCAACATTGATCTCAGTGCATCTGATTCCAGCCCCAAATTCAAGTCAGGCCTGGGTTTACTTGGAATAAACACAGAGTTAAAGACAAAAAAGGAAACCAGCTGCTTGCGTCTGGGGCTAGAAGTAAACAGCACTTCTACTGGTGCATTCACATTTCCAGTCCACTCTTCTTCCTGTTGCTACCAGCAATTCTGAAGTTGATCAAAGACTATTTTTTATATGATTTACTCACCGTGACATCAATGTTGATAATATCTCCATCCTGAAGAGGTCGACTGAAACACAAACAGAAGAAAAAGGTGACAGACAGACCTTAATAAAAGGGATATAAAAATAAATACCTAATGATTATTATCATAAAATCAATGAGTCACAGTGATTAGTTGGAATAAAGGAGGAATACATGCAATAACTATATCTGACAGATATTTTATGTTAGTCACATCAAACTGTGTAAGATAAGATGAACACATTGCCATTTTTAAAAACTTAACCATTCTTCAAAATGACATACTTATCGGTTACCTTCATTTTGTTAAGAATGAAAAAAATAAATGATAACAAAAACTTGCCTATATTATATTCTTATGTATTTGGTAAAATCTGAAGAAAGCAAAAGAAATAGTGAAGGCATAACTACTTCTGTAGATCATATACTGCTTTAACAAATACTTGATGATGACATACCCATTTAGCAGCAAAATACTTCAAAATTTTTGTTTTATTGTTATCAACTTTAGAAGTTTGCAGGTGTACTTGAATGAACTATGGTGCCTTTCAACATAAGTTATAAATCTTAGTTTCATGTTTTAGTTTCCAAAGGAACAATATGTTATTAAAGAATGAATACCTGTCAGGAATACCATGACAGAGCACGTTGTTTACAGAGGTACAAACAGATTTTGGAAAGCCTCCGTAGCCTAGAGGTGAGGGATAGGCATTATGACTGATGATTTCCTGATGAACAAGAGCATCTATCTCTTCAGTTGTCATGTCAACCTAAAATATTAAATAAAGAAATTGTGTGGTGACAGTTGAAGACATTTCCTGTATTTACTATGTCTATAGCAATAGCACTCCCATGTGAGACAGTATACATTTACTATGATAAACATATCGTATAAGACTTTAATTAATTATGACTAATGTTATAATACCTAATTGGGCTTTTTGGTGATTATTTGGGTATATGATGGTGTCATAGACTACTAGGAAGTAGAAAATTTCAACTCTAGGACCCTCTAAATCACTCATGAATTATTAAGTGAAATAACTTCTGTTTGGCCTGAAGATTTCAATGATGTGGACTTAGTAGCTCCTTCACTTTCCTCAAGGTTTAGGCGCCTTAGCTAATGAAAAAATAAAAGTGCTCAAATGGATCTTAGGTTTAGACAACAAGGCTGGGAAAGCAGGTCAACTCACACCTTTTTTATTTTAGTGAAACATTACAAGGGTTTTGCAGCAATGGCATGGAGATTATGGGGTATCCTTTTTAAAAACTTAACTTGGTATATTTTGTAAAGATCTGATTTTCACTCATCTTGACTTCTTTCATGCCTAAATAAATGTTTAAAAATGTTTCCCTTTACCAGAAGGCATCCAATTGCTCCCAAACAGTGAAAACTGAAGTTCAGTTTATATGTGCATGTTTTCATGGTACTAAGACTTGAACCCAGGACTTCATCCATGCTAAGGGAGCACTCTAATACTGAGCTACATCACAAGCCCGAGACTGAGCTTTATAAGTATGTGATCTCCACGATATAAAATTCTAAAACAAAAGATTTTTTGTAAAAATTAATTTTCCATGTTATTTCTTATTCAAGTTATGTTTCATTATGTTGCTCTAAGATGCTTATTTCATGGATGGCACCATAAGCTACTTAATCCTTGAGTCTTACTTTCTAAATTTTTCCCATCTTTTAGTGACTATTTTCTTATGATCTTTATAGAGCAGGCACTTCTAGTTATTATAAAATATATGCAATACTGGGACTGGGGATTTAGCTCAGTGGCATAAGTGCCTGCCTTGCAAGCAGGCAGTTGTGAGTTCAATCCCCAGTACCGGTAAAAAGGAAAAAGACCAAAAAAAAAAAAAAAAGCTGTACATAATTATATTCACATATACCAATAGTTTTGTGTATCTGGTCTCATCTTTCTTTATAAAGATAATGCAAAGATTAAAAAAAGAAAGCAAAATATTAGAATAGCTCCAGGCACACAGGAAAAAAATGTAGGAAATAAAAAGTAGAAACTCTAGGCAGGAAAAAGGAGGCAACAGTCAAAGCCATCTGCCATTAAACAATTTGGATAGGATGTTAGCCCAAAATGCCTCCAGAATTATGCTAGTTAAAAACAGATTTGGTTTTTCAAACTACCTCTAAAATGAACACATAAAACAATAAAATCCTTTTCTCTTGATAGCAAGGCTTTACTTTAAAAAAAATTAGACATATACAAAAGAAGAGTTAAGGAAAAAGAGAAAGAAAGAGCATTTGTTGCCCTTTATGTAAGTCACTCTGAGACTTGGTAAGACGCCACCTTTAAACTCTTCCCAGCCAGGAGAAGGACATGACGGGCCAGCTGACAAGCCTGATGAAGCCCTTGAATCTGATCTTCATTCTTAACTTCTATGCTGTCTCCCCAGTCGGGTACAATGCCTGTCGTCACATAGTCTGGCTTCTTTATATGCTTGAGGAAAAAGGATTGAAAATGAAGATCAGAACCCAGCACATGACAATGGGATCATTTTTTCAGACACAGCCTCCTGCTTCATAGAGCTCTGCCCTTCCTGCGGGAGCATCGACCTCCGAAGCCAGCACAACAGACCCTCCAGGCTGCCCCCAGTTCCTTCCCCTGCCCTTTTGAACTTAACATTGCCTGTTAGTGCTGCCTCTGGATGATCTGTTAACCTCACCATGCTCTGAGTCAAACTGGACTGAAGTAGACTTCTGGTCAAAACAAACAGTGGTTTTATTTTCCTCCTCCTCCCAACCCCGCTAGAAGCATATCACCATTGAAAAATACCACCAAACTTCCAATCTGCTAAATAATTAATTAAGAGAGATTTCTCATCCTCTTGACACAAAGATAAAATTTATGCAAACAATGGCTCCTAATACTGTCTCTCAATGAACACACTGTCCAGTGCATGCAGCCTCTTAGACACATACTTCCCTTATACTTGGAAATCCTACTCAAACTGGGCACTAGAAGATAAAACAAAGCAGCATTCTTTTCTCTCTACCCACCCCCCGCAGTACATAAAAATTATTTAGAATACATCCATCATTTGTTAAGAGTAATACCGCCCCTAAACTCAAAGCATTCAAACCTGATCACTTTTGCTGAGCATCCTCTGCCACTTAGTCAAACCCACTAATAGTACACAGAATACAATACTATCTTACACACAGCACTTCTTTCAGGCCCAAGGTTTGCAAAGCCCTTAATAATTTATTTATAGCAACTGTACATATGCACGTTGAACAGAACACAGCAAGGCTACACAGTGGTTTGGGACAGGAAGCTAACAAAGATCACACTAGTCAATGGCAATATCATGTAACTCTGGAAGGATTGAGGCTGGAGCTCCTCTTTGTGAGGAGTGTCATGCTGGCTCCCCTGTTCAGAGGGGCTTTCCAGAGGTAAAAGAATGGTCTGGTTTGCTGCGGCTGAGCTCTGGAGGAGCACCTACTCTCCTACAGCTGCCCCACCAATGCCCACGGCTCACTAGGTCTCCGCCAAACAGTCTATGTTCTTGTCTTACCTCTGCTCTGTGATCTGGTGAGGTCACAACTACAGGCAGAGAGGCTGCTGTGGTGCTGCCACTGCAATCGACCGAAATGTCTAATGTAATACTTTCACCTATCCAGGGATTTCTTTTTCTTTTCCACTAAGGAAAAATAATGTCAATTTTGTGACTAATACTATGCTGGCTCTCCCTATGATGGCCAGACATCAATCAAGGCAGGAATATACTCTGTCTTGTCAGCTTTGCTACAAAAATGGGCCACTCAACTTCAGGAGTATAACATACACAATACGGATTCACTGTAATACATCAACAACAGCAGTAACAACAACAATAAAAACAGTACAAGGGAGAAAGCAAATGTTTTTATGATAAATCTGTATTTCTTTTAGCTATTTTCCTTTTTCTCTAAATGACTCACAAACCTCCTTTATATTATATTTTGAAAAATGAAAAGATTGTCTTTACACAGAATTGCAATCTTTGAATAAAAAAGTGCTCTGAGACAAGATGTTATTTTGTTTTGTTTTGTACTGGGAATCGAACTCAGGGCCTCATGCTTTCCAGGCAGATATTGTGCTACTGAGCTACATCCTCCATCCAAGATGTTATATTTAATTTACTCCAGAGAACTACTCAAACACAGCAGCATTAGTAACATGGAAAGTATTAAGTACAGGCTTAATAAAAACATCTACTATGTTAGTTTCAAAAAATTTCCCTTGAATAATCCCGATTTAGTCATTTCCCCCCCAAAACAGGAAAGTATACATATGAAGTTTTATTTTCATGACAGAAATTAAGTGTAGAGGCTGGGCATGGTGGTGCATACCTGTAATCCTCACACTCAAGAGGCTGAGGCATGAGGATCACTGCAAATTCAAGACCATCCTGGGTTACAAAGTGAGCTCAACGCCAGCTTGAACTGCATAGTGAGACCATGTCTCAAAAAAACCCGAAAATATAAAAAGTAAATAAAAAATTAAATAGAAACAGTGTGGGAAATTCCATGGCAAAAATTTAAATTTTAAATAAGCTAAGCAGTTGTATACTCAGAGCTTTACTTTTGAAAATTAATGTTCTAGAACTGCAGCATATTAAAACTTCTTATACTACCATTTCAAATCCCAAATCAAGTTCTAAAATTATGACTTGAATGGCTCAGAAATCAAAGGTACAAAAACATTTACCACTTCTGCAGTCAGCCTTTATCTTGGTTGGAAAAAGTAGCAGATAACAGGCAATACAATACCTTCGGGACAGGACGCGCTGAAGAAACTGCAGCTGGCAAAACTATACTGTGTGAAGTATCTCTTTGTCTCCAGAAAAAGAAATTTCTTCTTTGTTGACTGCTGGACTCCTTGTGTAAGTAGATATGACTGAATGGTGAAGAGAAAATGCTATGATAGCCTATGAACAGAAATAGATGTATTTTAAATTGAAAAAAAAAAGAAAAAAAACTGATACAGTATTGTGCTTGAAGGTGTTGCACTATTAAATCATTATTCTAATACTTTATTGAGTCATAAAAGAAAAGCCCCAAACAGAAAGGAAAACGGTAGTATTCTGGGTTCTAGTATAATAGTAGCACAGCATATTAGCTAATGCTATGTTTACATAAATGTCTGACAATGGAAAGCTCTACTCTAATGGGAAACAAACATATAGAAACATCTGCTAAGCACTCAGTCTATAAAAAGAACAATTGCTGATGTGATACTTTGTACAACAATGTCCAGGATAATCTCAGAATGTAAGGTACTATTTTGATGGCTTTATATTCTTTAAAACCATTTTCCTTTCAGGAATCATGGATAAACTGTCAGCTGTATTCTTGCCTTCATAGGATCACTACTGTGTGTTAAGGCATTATATTAAAATTCACTGCAATGAATGTTCAAGCTAGATAAAGACCAAATAGCAAAAATATAGGCATAACTTTGAAAGAAACCAAACACAGGGTCTTAAAGCATCTACAGCAGAAATGTAGAAAAACCTGTCAAATTTTAACTGTACATATTTTTAAGTACAGTAACTTATCTCTTTGGACTGTATCCCATTAATATTATGCAGTTGTGGACATACAAAGACACACCCTTACTGAAGCACTGTTTGGGTAGAAAAAATGGGAACAATGTCCAAATGAGAAACAGCACCAGGGAACTTGTTAAGTACACTTTAATATAACTACATAACAGAAAACTCTGGGGCCATAACAAAGAAAAAAAACTAACTCATCTTTGTATTGATAAAAGATGTGGTAAGATATTGTTAAGAAAAAAAAGCAAGTGCTAAACAGTATGTGTAAGAAGCTTGTTAATGTAAAAAGAATTTGTATATTTATATATAAGTTTGTATGTGCCTAAAAAATTCCTGGAAATTAACATTCATGCATAATGGTTATTGCTGGAGTATGTGATTGGGGTGGAGGAAGTATTTTTGATTCATTGTATTTTTTTTCTTTTTTGGAGGAGGAGGATTTGAACTCACTAAGTAGCTCAGCCTGGCCTTGAAGTCCTAGCAATCCTCCTGTCTCAGCCTCCTGAGTGCTGGGATTACATGTGCACCACCATGCCTGGCTTCACTGCATTTTCTTCTACACTGTTAGGCCTTTTAAACTTCTTGAATTACTGTTACCATGAAAATGACAGTTTAAAAAAATCTCCAACAGGTCACAATAGTACAGTACTGGTTGGCAAACCATGGCCCAAAGGTCAAATCATTTTTATTTTTTAAACAGCCCGAGACTTAAAAATGGTTATTGAGATTTACAAATGGTTAGAACAAAACAAAAGCAAGAGAAACAATATTTTGTAACACAAAGACTTTTATGAGTTTCAAATCTTGGTACATCCAGCTCCCTTCATTTGCTGCTGACTTTGCACAGCAGATTCTGAGCTGCAGTGGCAAGAGTCCAGTGGTGACAGAGATATGGTCCACAAAGCCCAAAACATGGACTGCAGGTATCTTAGCAGGAGCTCACTAACTTCTGCCCTAGGAAGGCGCCTGCTGCGTGTCAGGAGGTTCCCAGACCAGCAGAGTCAGTGTCACAGGGCACAAAGGTGCCAATCCAAGGCCCCTCCTCCACCTACTGACTCAAACTCTGGGGATGAGGCCGGTGACACTGACACGTGCTGTAACAGCAGCAGGGTAATTCTCAGGCACATCAGGCCTACGAGCTACTGGCCCAAGGTAACTTTCTGGTTGTGAAACCTCCTGGAAACAGGAACTGTGGTGAGTAACAGCCCCAAACTAGGACCCTCTCCCACTGGGAAGAGAAAAAGACACTGATGAAAGTCCAAGGGCCACGGATTCAGTGTCAGAAGTTTCACTTAACTCTGTTCCCCTGGAAGGGTGAATGTAAAACTGTTGTATCAAACTCACAGCGGGGTTCTAGGTACTTTTTTTCCTCTTTATTTTCAATCTGGGATTGAACCCAGAGCCTTACTGGTCAAGTGTTCTACCGCTGAACTACATCCCCAGCCCCATTGGACTTTGGTACTACTTTAAGCAATTTCATATTACAGATAAAAGTCTGGAAATATAATTTATATATTTATTTATTTTTGTGGTAGTAGGGATTGAACTCAGTGCTTTCACATTAAGCTTCATCCTCAGCCCCTTTTAAATTTAAAATTTTCTTTTTAAAAAGCTTTGTTTGTTTGTTTTGGAGACAGAATCTTACTGTGTTGCCCAGGTTGGTCTTCAACTCCTGGGCTCAAGCAAACCTTCTGCTTCAACTTCCCCGATAACTCTGGAGTAGATGCAAACTCCCACATAAGGCTTTTAGCAACTTTTTAGTTGCTTGATAGAGGCAGGTACATATTCCCTGAAGCATGAGAAGTGTATTTTCCTAATAATGACACCATCAGCCCTATGTCTGTCAACTGATGGATGAGGGTTGCAGTAGTGTCCAAGACAAAACAGGTATTTGGAAAGCAAAAGCCTGGACTCGTGTCTCAGTTCTACCACTTGTTATTTCTGTGGCCCTGAACAAGTTTCCCCTTTTGAATGTCAGGTGAGAACTAAGTGAAATAAAGGAGGTGAAAGTGCTTTGCATTTAGCAGATATCCCACAAACAACAGTTCCTTCAAGAGAGAAAAACAGGAGAGAAAGCCCGGCTAGCGTCAGATTCACAGCTGAAGGCACTCAGGAAGAGCAGCGAGCGCCGCAGCAGTGGGAATGAGATGAAGTCGCCTCTACAGAGTACACTGCTTCTCAGAGCAAGAAAAAGCTGAGCTTCCACACATGGAACACACAGGACATGCAAAAGGCATCATAAAACTACTGGTACTATGTGACTCATTATTCTTCCACATCGGTAATGGGTTGACCTAATCCATCCTCTCTTTAAGCCAAGCTGCTTTCGCTGACCAAACGCATGCCTCAGCAAGGTGCAGGCAGAAGTTACACGTAGTTGAGTAGTCTGTGGAAATGAAATGAAAAATGGGGGCACTTGTAGAATCAAACTATGACTCAGGCTCTCTAATTTCATCTGTAGGCAGGATCACATACAAGACACATGCTCATAATGTCTCTTCTAAGGAAAGTATATATTACTACTATTAATAATGATAATACTAATGAAATAGTAGTTGTGGATCACATTTCATGAATACTTATTTTGATTAAAAGTTTGATGCCTTGTATTTTATTTTATTAAGATAGGTTCTTACTAAGGAGCCCAGACTGGCCTCAAACTCAGGCAGTCCTCCTGCCTCAGCCTCATGAGTGCTGAGATCACAGGGACATGCTACCATACTGAGCTCTGTACACTGCCTCTTACTAACTCTATCAGGTGGACAGGCACCTATTAACAGCACTATTTTATGAATGAGGAACTAAGACTCACATCTCCAGTAATCAATAACCAGGCTTCAGGCTCATGTGTTCCAAGTCCAAATCTAGGTTGGTCTCTGTCAGTCAAAACTACCTCCCAACAGTGGGTTGCCTGGGTCTTGCACTGTTTCAGGGATTAAATTTTGAGGAATCAAAAAACAATTTTTTTGAATCATAAAAAATATACCATGTGGCCAATGAAGATTTAGAATAAAGATGCTGTGTATAAAGGTTTTTTGGCAGTACCTAGAATTAAATCCAGGGATCTCACATATGTAAGGCAAATACTCTTATCATTGAGCTACAGCCCCAGACCTTTCCCATGAAACTTCTTAGATGATCTAATTAGGGGCCTCTGTGGTAGTAGAGCATGAACTTACGAAGATTTTTTTCAGTGTGGCAGATTACATGAAAGAGAAACTATCTTTATCAGTATTATCAAGTTCAAGTACACAATCGTGATAGGGAGAATCTTTTCTATGTACTTAAACTTGAAGTTATGAACTCATCAGTTCTCTATTGGGATAAGTGGATGAGGTTTTTAGACATTCACTTTTTGGACAAACAGTATTGTCAATGTACTTGTCCTGCCAAATGATGGGATCAATACCAAAAAAGTACAATGAAATAAAGTTAAATACACACACACACACACACACACACACACACACACACGCATTCACACATAACTGCATAGCAAAATTCTAAATATCAGAAACAGATTGACCACAGCCAGTCTGCAGACTGTTATGATTCTACAGGGTTCTTAGCGATTCCACTTTCATAAGATACTTTTGTATTTGACATGAAATCTTTTTTATTTCAATCTGATAAGACACTATGTTGTCACAAGGTAACAGGATAATAAGATACAACGGCATGTTTATTTCACTAACTACTCATTACATACCTAAAAAAAATCTAGTGTTTTCACAGGTTAAATGAAGAAATGGGCCGAAGTCACTGTACTTTCAGAAGAGAACGGCTCTCCAATTAGCATGGGGAGGAAATTGGGGACCCTCAGTCTTGTTTATCACATTATAATTAATGATTAGTGACTAAAATTCTCAAATGCAGAGTAAACAAAATTAAAATTCCAGCCCATACTACATTCAGAGTCATACAAAGGATGCCTAATACAGAGACAGAGCACTGTACGAAAGGTCTGTTGAGTTTTTTTATACCTTTTTGTGCTTTGTAAAAGCAGAGTTGTTGTCGTATCTAACTTTTAACTTGCTACTACCGTTGGTGGTATCATTCATTTGATGCTTGATGACCATCCTCAGAGGTAGGTCTGCATTGTCATTTCAGAGGATAGACATACACCCTCTTTTTGTAAAGCTATTTGGGGAAACAAGATGCAGGTATGTACTAATTACTGCAAGTGGAAAGTGAACTAATCTGAAGTTCAGGAGATGCCAGTGGGAAATCAGCAGAAATCTCAGGGTAGCAGGGGAGCCCAGAGCAGCAAGGGGTTGCTTGGTACTAATTTGGCCTTGAAAGCAATGATCACAGAGTAGTGTTGTTACTGTTGTTACCTAACAAGAACTCTATATAGGGTTTTTGCAGGC